AGTGATAAAGAGAATATCATAAAAGCAGGCTGAAAGAAGAGCCCATTTCCTACAGAGAAATTAATAAGAGGCAAATTTCATTAGAAACAATGCAAGCAGAAAAGAGTAGAGCAACATTTTTTAAGTAAAGAAAGAAAAAAAAACAAACTGTGAACCTAAAACTCTATATTCAGCAAAATATATTTCAAAAACAGAAGTGATATAAAGATGATATTTGGACATTAAGCAGCTGAAAACATTTATCACAAAAAAATAAATACATACCAGATGAAATTCGATCTACACAAGGGATGGAGAGCACTTGAATGGTAAATACGTGGGTAACTAAAAATACTTCTTTTACTCTCTTTTGAAAGGTAACTGATGTTTTAAAGCAAAAGTAACATATTGTAGGGCTTATAAGTTATGTTGATGTAAAACATATGACACAAAGGTTGTGACAGGACAAAGGTTGAGAAAAGGGAAATGGAAATATACTCTTTCAAGGTTTCTTATAATGTATGTCAAGTGGGATAATACTATAAACTAATGGAAGCTAAAGATGTATATTATAAATCATAAAACAGCCAATTACAAAATAAAACAAAACGAATAAGTATACAGTAAGCCTACAGAGAAGATAAAATGGAATAAAAAATATTCAATCAAAAAGAAGACAGGGGGAAAAAAAGGACAAAGAAGAGATGAAACAAATGCAAAGTAAGTAGTAAGATAGAAAATTTAAACCTAGCCAAAGCAATAACAACATTAAATGTAAATGTTGTAAGCATCCCTTAATTAAAAAAAACAGGGATTGTCAGGCTGGATTAACAAAGCAAGACCCAACTACCATGTTTCCCCGAAAATAAGACATCCTCCAAAAATAAGACCTGCTTACAGATTTCCTTTTGAGTGAAATATAAGGCATCCCCCCAAAAATAAGCTCTCCCCCCCGGCACCAGGCTAACCATGAGAGATTTGGTCCACTGATTCTGAAAGAAATAGAGTCACAAGCAATTCACCAGGAAATTCAGGAATTGGATTGTTATGATGATGTTCCAGAAGATGATGACATGATTGTCACTGAATAAATGAGTAAATTCTTCATACTGTAGGATTCACAGTTTTTCTGATTTGTGTTGACAACTACCGTACTACCGTACTGTATACAGGTAATAAATTTCCTTTATTTTCATTTAAGAATAAATGTGTACTGTATTCTTCTTCATGAAAAAATAAGACATCCCCTGAAAATAAGACCTAGCGCATCTTTGGGAGCAAAAATTAATATAAGACTAAAAAATAAAAAATAAAAAAAAATAAAAAAATTAATATAAGACACTGTCTTATTTTCGGGGAAACAGGGTACATGCTGTCTATAAGAAACCTACTTTAAGTATAAAGACAAAAGTAGGTTTAAAAAAATGAATGGGAAAGCTATGCTATGCTAATATTGATGAAAAGAATATGTAGTGGTTTTACTAATATCAGACAAAGTAATTTTTAGAGCAAAGAATATAATTAAAAGTAAAGAAATTCATTTTGTAATGATTAAGGATTAAATTCATCAAGAAGACATTACAATTCTAATTGTTTATGCACCCAAATTACATATATAAGACAATGGACTAGGTATTGTGAGAGAGATTTTTTTTTAAAGTAAGACAGAAACCCAGCTGGTGTGGATCAGTGGTTGAGAATGGACCGATGAATCAAGAGGTCACAGATTTGATTCCTGGTCAGGGTAAATGCCTCGATTGCAGCTCAATCCCCAGAAGGGGGCGTGCAGGAGGCAGCCAATAAATGTTTCGTTCATCTATGTTTCTCTCTCTCTATCCTTATTTCCAACTCTCTAAGTCAATAAAAAGAAAGCCCTACCACAAGAAGCAAAAATATGACCTGGGACGCCCTGCTGCCAACACTAAGATTGAACCCAGTTGCATACACATAGTGAGTGCATTGAGGCAACAAGAAGTACCGAGCCTTGAGGTTGGACATGGGCAACTTCTCCTGAGGTCAGAGTGTTGTATGCCCAACACAAGGATTATTGATGTTGTCTACAATGCATCCAACAACGAGCTGGTCCATGCTAAGACCATAGTAAAGAACTGCATTGTGCTCCTTGACAGCACTTCATACCAACAGTGTACGCACTGCCCTTGGGCTGCAAGAAGGGGGCCAAGCTGATTCCTGGAGAGGAAATTCAGAAGAAATATGATGGAAGGAAAAAAGAATGCCAAAATCAGCAGTCTTCTTGAGGAGCAGTTCCAGCAGGGCGAGCTTCTTGCATGCATCATTTTAAGGCCAGGCCAGTGTGGCTGAGCAGATGGCTATGTGTTCGAGGGCAAGCAGCTGGAGTTCTATTTGAGGGCAAAAAAGGCCCGGAAAGACAAATAAATCCTCTTCCCTCCTATCTTAGCTCATGTAATAAAGATGTTTATTCTAAAATAATAAAAATAAAAATCTCTTCTTCAGCAATCTCCTATTTCCTATATTATAGCTGAAACTCCAAACCTTAACATTTTAGTTAGAATCTTGAGGCAGTGGTCGGCAAACTGCGGGTCGCTAGCCACATTTTGGCACTTCCACAAAACACCACATGCGGGTGCGCACCTACAATGGGATTGAAACTGGCCCATGTGCAGAAGTAGGGTTTTGGCTCTCAAAAGAAATTTCAATTGCTGTACTGTTGATATTTGGCTCTGTTGGCTAAGGAGTTTGCTGACCACTGTCTTGAAGAGAAAGAGGAAAGCTAGATAGATAGGGACTGGGACCACGGGGGGGGGGAGGAGGGGGGGAGGTTGGAGGATAATAAACCCGGGAACCTGTCTAGGTGGAGTTACTAAGGAACCCAAACTGAGTGGGGAAGGGTGAGTGTGGAAGACATGAGCTTTAAAAATGTATGAATGTTGCTAAGATTGGCAGCTTACAGATAACCAATAACAAGAAGTGAGGTGTATAAGTAATCCCAAGAATGTTATTAAGGCAGAATTCTTTGAAAAGTCCAATTAGGAGCTAGCAAGGCCGTATCTACCCCCTAAATTAAAAGGCATGCACTTCCTCTCACCCTCTCCCTCCCCTAGCACACAACAGCTTCCTGATGTTCCTGTGGTTGGGAAGCTCAACTTCTGCCCCACGTGGCTTATGCATATGTGGGGTTCTCCACCTGGACTAATACTAACACCCAACTGTAACATGGAAAGGGAGCTCTGGACACCTGCTCCTGGAACTCCAGTTGCACCTTTTCCAGGATGGCTTTTCTCAATAAACTTTAGTTCCGTTAACTGGTTTTGTCTGCAACTTTACTCTTCGATGTGATGAGACAACAAACTGGGGCTCAACAACCACATTTTGGTTTCACTCTAATCAACTTCCTCATCTCACATGTCCCATTAATCATTCTATTGCATCTGCTTAGCCAAACCACAATATTCTGGTTCAATCTAGTTGTTCATCTTTTTCTAATTCTTACACCAGGCTGCCAAAAAAAATAATTCCACAACACAGAGTTGGGGTGGCACTACAAAGTTAGAATTTCTACTCTCAAAACTGCCTTCAGTGCAATCCTCTTATCTTTCACCATCAGCTCTATTGTTCTCCTTAGCAACAATTTCAAATTGTGTCCACACTCCTCAAATTTCTGATTATACCACTTCATACTCCTCACCCTACCAGGGGCAGAAATAGAATACTGGGGAACAGCTATAAGAAGAAGAAATACTAATCATGCGCTGTTAACCACGATTGTTTTGTTCTCATTAAAGAAGGCACATTCTAATCTGGCTGGGAGTTGCATGTGGGACCTGGGAGCTCACCTGGAAATTTGGCCCATCCTCCATATCCAGGAGCTGCCTATTATCATGGAAAGGTTAACAACCTTGTTGCAGAAAACAGAGGCACCAGCCCTTTGCAAACCCCTAGCCCTTTGCAAACCATGAGCTATTTGCATACTTGTAGGCCTTTGCCAACCCAGCCTGAATTACTTGTAAACTGCCCATTTTGTATACCTATTCTTACCCCTTTTGCCTACTTCCCCATGTAATCTTCATCCTTCTACCCTATATAAGCAGTTGGCTTATGTTGGGGGCAAAGCAGATTTTTGTGGATGACCTGCTGCTCTCCCATACTGCCTGGATTATGGGAATAAATGCTTGTATATGATTCAACCCTGTCTCTGCTAAATTGGCTCAAGAAGTGACAGGCAGCTCAGACCCATTGTCTGGTTACAGCCCCACTCATATACCCACCCCTCAGCAAATTACCTCAGCTCTATTTTATTTTATTTTTTAAGCTGCTAAATGGTCAGACACTTCCTTAATTTCCTGCCACGGCTTCCACATACAACTTTGCTTGTAATTGCTTACATTCTGTCATATAGTATTTTCCAATCCCTGGCACATTTCCCCTCAGCCCAGCATGCACCCGGATTGGAGAGGGTGCACGCTGGGCTGAGGGGAAACACACACACCCCCATACACAAATTTTGTGCACCAGGCCTCTAGTCTTATAATACAATGCCTGATACTGTTCTAAGTGCTTTACAAGAATCAATTCGTTTAACATGGGACATACATATATAAGATATAAACTTTACAAATTACCAATGAGTAGCATAAACAACATTCAAGGAGGAAAAAATGATTATACACAGGGTAGTCACAAAGGGCAAAACAGAAGTAAACCTTAAAGTCTGATAAAAAGAAAGAAGAAAGCACTTCAAGTGGGGCCTACAAAGTGAATAAATACTATCAAACATGGTGTTTGATAGTAAACATACTAGTCTGAATCAAGTAGAGAATTTAAGAAAGATGTCCTCAAACATTTGGACACATAATCCTTTTACATTATTCAAATTATTAAGGACCCAAAAGTTTTTGGTTATATGGATTATATCTATGTATATAAGTTTGTTTGTTTTTAATTCTCACCTGGGGATATTTTTTTTTTCATTGATTTTTAGAGAGTGGAGGAGAGGGTGGGAGATAGATAGTGAGAGAGAAACATCGATGTGAGACACCACCCAAATAGGATCATTATATAAACATCAATAACATTTTATGAAAAATAACCATATTTTTCAAAATAAAAAAAGAGTTTGTGAGAACAGTGGCACTATTTTATGATCTTGCAAATCTCTTTAATATCTGGCTTAATAGAAGAACCTGAATTCTAACTGCTTCTACGTATACTTTGTAGCAATATGTTGTTTGGTTGAAGTATAAGGAAATCTGGCCTCACAAATATGAAGTTGGAAAAAGGAGTATTTTACTAGGTGTACCAGTTAATAATGCGGATTTTGTAGTCAAAGAAACACAATAATTTCAAGAGAGATATTAAAAGTGCTTTATTCAAAGTAACGTCCATCACTAGCTACACATTTCCCCATCTTTCAGGTAATTTGTGGATAGCATTCCAATAGAAATTTTATTGTTTTGAGGTAAACTACTGGAAGACCCAATTTTCCATTTCTTCGTACTTTTTGAAGTGCTGCTCAGAAAATGCGTGTGCCATTGATCAGAACAAGTGATAATCTGAAGGAGCAAGGTCTGATGAATACAGCAGGTGGGTTAATACTTCCCAGGCAAAATCTTTTAACATGTCTTTAATTGGTTTTGAAGTGTGTAATGTTGTGTCATCATGAAGCAAAACTACTTTGCCGTGTCTTCTGGCACATTCCAGTAATTTCACGATCAAAGCATGGTTCAAATTGATTATTTGTTGTCCGTAGTGATTGGTATTAATGGTTTCACCTAGTTTTAGAAACTCATAATACACCACACCTTCCTGATCCCACCAAATGCAGAACATTGTCTTCTTTCCAAAGTGATTTTGTGCATTTGGGATTCTCAAAATAAATCCACTTTTCATCGCCAGTCACAATTCCATGCAAAAAAAGACTTTCTTTCATGACATTGAACCAACATCTTACTGATGACTTTTCGGGTTTCCTTTGATTTTCATTCAGTTGATTTGGCACCCATTTTCCTTCCTTTAAAATCTTTCCCATTGCTTGTAAATGATGGGAAATTGTTTGCTGAACAAGGTTTAATCTTTCTGCAAGTTGTTTTTGAGTTTGACATGCATCTTCATCCAATAATGCTTGTAATTGTTGGTCTTCAAACGTTTTCAGTTGACCTGGACACCTTTGTCTTTCACATCGAAATCATCACTTTTAAAGTGTTTAAACCAGTGTTCACAACTATCTTGAGATGGAGCATGTTCATCATAAGCTTCCCGAAGTATTCAGCAGCACTTTTCTCCAAAATAATGAATTAAAACTTCCAGCAAATACTCTTTTTTTGGCATGAAATTTGACATTTTTAAGCGTAAAAATATCTATGATTTAACATCTTCAGCAAATTTGACATATGAAGTTTTGAACCTTGCTGTCAATACCACAAAATAGTATACATATCAAATGGCATATGTATCAACATATGTGTAACTCCACCTACTGAAAAAAATCCGCATTATTAACTATTACACCTAGTAACAGATGTTTCAGACACTACCCAAAAACTCAACAAATGGTTAGCAATATGGAATTGAAACCAATATCGATGAACAGAAATAAACTTTTCATATTCTGAGATTTTACAATCTGTTTGTCTATCTTGAATTTTAAATAAATTTCTTATCCATGCAATTATTTCATAACATGATGAAATTGGAAATATTGATTCACTGAATTATGAAAATCCTACAGATGTTGATGAATCTATTAATACAATAAAAAATCATATTATTAATATTAACGATTTCATCCGAAAAGTTTTTTAAGTACTGGGAAGTTATCATGCTTACAGTAGATACAAGCTCAATAAAATTCTAATTTTCATTTGAAAAGTCAAAATTTATCACTGGTAACATTTACTGAGATTCATTTTCAACAATAAGTAAGAAGATTTAATAAAATTAATACTTTTTAGGACTTTATCAATGTGTTTTGTGTCTGAACTAAGAGTCTGGGTGGTGGAAAATGACTACTGCCAGTCTGATGCTATGGCTTTGATGCCTGCAAAGGTGCCAAGTTATATAATTAGTATAAATGTCAACAGAGTGAAAAGATAAATAACATCTTAATAGTAATATGAATATAGTTTTTACCTTGCAGATTCCCTAAAATGGTTTCAGGGACCATCAGGAAATCATAGATCACACTTTGAACTGAATATAAGTAAAAAGGAGAAACAAAGCTTCTTAAAAAACCCAGCCTTTGAGGCTTCAAATGGCTGAGTTAAAGATCCCATTCTAAAAACATGCACTTGATCTGGGGGAGATAATAGATCAACCGAAGGACTTTTATACATGCATATAAGTACAACCAATGGACACAAAACTCTGGGGAGGGAGGGGATGTGTGGGAGGGAGGGAGGGGGGCAAAAAAATCAATAAAATATATTAAAGTAAATAAACAAACAAACAAATAAATAAATAAATAATAAAAAAATTAATAAAATAAAAACATGCACTTGATACCTTTGATGCTCTTTGTATGCTGGATAATTTTAGAATTATATCCTAGAAATTACAAATGTTAAGTTGTAAAAATTCTGGAATCTGTTGTTTTTCTCAAATGAGCATTGTTATGTTTTATTTTTAATGAGGCAATTACTTTAACTGTAAACTGTTTATTGGGCATTAGCTCCCTTCTCAGTTCAGATCTTTTGTCTTTTATTCACCTGCTTTGAGTCTATTATACCCCAATGATTCAAGTTTCGGTCAGAGATGTGGGAAGACAGAATTTGAACAATCTTTCTCTAGCTCTCTTTCCTTTGCAAGATTCTTCCACTTGTCAGTGGCCAAGGTTTCCTCAGCTTCAGTTTTCCAGTTTTCCTGGTCAGAAAGCCCTGAAGTTTTCCCATGGTGCTTTCCACCCCATCCAAAAATAATTTTCTGCATACTCCACTTAGCCCCAGGTGCAATTTTTTTCCTTAGGCTCATAATTCCCCTTCCTCACCTTAACTAGAGTCTGTCTACTCTTTCTGTCCAGGGATTTCAGGCAATATCTTTTTGTATTATATACAGGTTTTATAGCTGTCCTTTCTGCAGGGAATCATATAGAAGGGTCATACTACTCCATTATCAGATACATAGGTCCCCTCAGAAGATTTTTATCTGAAAAGTTGCATAATTAGGTAGATCTTCATTATAAAAATACTAGAGGAACCAGTAAGGTCCCTCGGCCTGGCCTGTGGGGATCGGGATGAAACTGGCTCTCCAACACCCCCCAAGGGGTCCCAGATTGCAAGCGGGTGGTTCTCTGGTGACACTCTGAAACTGGGCTCCCTCCTCTCTGGTTCCAGGTGCATCACCTAAGAACCACAGCTGCCAAGTCACTGCAGTTCGGCAGCTCCTACACTGAGCATCTACCTCCCAGCGGTGAGTGTGCATCATAGCTACCAGCCAGTTAGCCAGTTGGCTGGTTGCTTAGACTTTTATATATATAGATTCCTTTGGCTATTGTGAGGTAAAGTCTTAAGGTAGCTAGAGATGTGGAAGAATACACAATAGACGAGGAAAGAGAGACCATTTAGAAAATAAAGTACCTGGTATATTGTTGTTTATAAGTATTTTAAAAATCTGATGAATTTTGGAATTACTGAAGTAAGTTATCCAAATATCACCATATCATCATCTGATGGCATTATAAACTGCTTAAAAGATTTAAGAGGATTAAACATCTAGAAGTCATTTAATCTACGTACAAGTTAGATATTGTTTATACTAAATCACCTCTAATCCTCTAAATTTCCAGGGATCAAGATTTCATTAATTTTTTTCAATAGACTGTTTACATTGTATACTCATATATTGCCTATAAACCTCTCTGAGAATAAAAAGAAACAGAGATGTGTTTATTCCTTTTCACACTTATTTTGTTCTTGATTTATTATTTCTCAAGATTGTCAAAGCAAAGATGCTGAACATTTCCCTCATATAATCACTTAATACAAAGATATGACATCAAAATGCAACTAAATTATAGAACAACTACCCTCAAGAAACACACTGAAGACTAGCTGAACAGAACTCTTATAACTAAGGATATACACTGAGTGACCAGATTATTATGACCACCCTATCAGTACTTTGTTGGAACACCTTTTTTTAAAATATGTTTTTATTGACTTTTTACAGAGTGGAAGAGAGAGGGATATAAAGTCAGAAACATCAATGAGAGAGAAATATCAATCAGCTGCCTCCTGCATACTCCCCGCTGGGGATGTACCCGCAACCAAGGTACATGCCCTTGACCAGAATCAAACCTGGGACCCTTCAGTCAACAGGCTGATGCTCTATCCACTGAGCCAAACTGGCTAGGGCCGTTGGGCCACCTTTTGCTTTCAATACTGAATTGATTCTTCTTGGCATTGACTCCACAAGATGTTGAAAGGTGATGAAAGGAATCTGACAACATGCCTGATGAACAGCACTGTCCAGTTCTGTGAGATCTGATGGTTGTGGAACCAGCTGCCTGATGGCTCTTTTAACTTCGTCCCACAAATGCTCAATTGGAGTGAGATCTGGTGATTGACCCCACCACACCCAACTCATGTTCCAGCCCAAATTTCTTTCTGAGGCTAATCCACATAAACAACCAGCCTGGGCCCATGCAGCAGACTTTCTTAACATTCTCAAGGGTCCAAAAACCCCCAAACAAGCAGTGGCTGGCCTCTGCATGCCCTGTACCCCTTGATAAGTGGCCCAAATCCAAGTACTTATGGCAGCAGGCATCACTCTCAGGCACTCCAAGCCCAGCCCCAGGATGGACAAAGGCAGCAGCTGACCTTGCACTGCACAGGAGTCCCTCCTTAGAGATCCCAGAACCAATGTACCCAATGCCTGGCTTCATACCACACTACAGCACCACCAAATTAGAATCACAATGACACATCCAAAGGGTGAACTCAGCAGGAACCAAAGTCCTGCTAAACTTAATCTCACTCCTTGGGATCAGCCCCCACATAACAGTTCATTTACTGTAGTCACAGCCAGTCCTCACAACCAGTCAGCCTAAGGGTTGATCGCATCCACTGACATGCCAACAAAAATCAAGGAGAGCACACACAACCTACACAAGGGACACCCCTGAAGCACCCAGTTCAGGTCAACAGGGAGACTGGCCCGCACAGGACACCTACTACATAAATACAGCCACCACATGAAAACTGGTAGCCATATAGGTTCTGCTTAATACAGAAAAACAAAAACAGGGAGGCAGCCAAAATGAGGAGAAAAAAACATGATCCAAATTAAAAAAACAAAACAAAAAAACACACAACTAAATAAAATGGCAGCAAGCAATTTACCATATGCAGTATTGAAAACACTGGTTATAGGATGCTCAATAAACTTAAAGGAAGAATACATCATCTCAAGACAACTTACACAAGACAGAAAACATTAAAAAAAGAACAGTGAAACCATAAAAAACAACCAGTCATAAATAATAAATACAATAGCTGAAATTAAAAAGTACATTAGATGGAATCACCAGCAGGTAAAAAGAAGCAAAGTATGAAATCAGTGATTTGGAAGACAAGGTAGTAGAAAACACCCAATCAAAATAGCAAAAAGAGCCCCCACTGGTTTGGCACAGTGGATAGAGCGTCAGCCTGCAGCCTGAAGGGTTCCAGGTTCGATTCCAGTCAAGGGCACAACCCCAGTGGGGGTGGGGGGGGGTGCAGGAGGCAGCTGATTGATTTTTCTTCTCATCAATGTTTCTAACTCGCTCTCCCTCTCCCTTCCTCTCTGTTAAAAAAATCAATAAAATATATTTTTTAAAAATACCAAAGAAAAAAAATTTTTTTTTAATGAGGATAGTATAAGGGACTTCTGGAACAACATCAAACATAACATTTGCATCACAGGGGTGCCAAAAGAAGAGAGCAAGTTGTTGAAAAACCTATTTGAAAGAATAATTACTAAAAACTCCCCAAACGTCGTGAAGAAGAAAAGAAATAGACCTACAAGTCTGCTAAGCATAGAGTCCCAAACAAGATGAGCCCAAAGAGGCCCACACCAGAACAAATCATAATTAAAGTGCCAAAGATTAAAGACAAAATCTTAAAAGTAGTAAGAGAAAATCAGTTAGTTACCTACAAGGGAGCTTCCTTTAGACTGGCAGCTGAAGGGGAGGGGAAATGGCAGCAGAATAGACAGACGTGTCCTGAGCCTTGTCCCGGAACAGATAGAATGGGCAACTAAATTGAATAATATCCATCCTGAACTGGTAAAGTAGACACAGTCGGCAAACAGTTTGCAGCCCGGAAGGGCAGAGGACACCTGGAGAACAGTAAAATCAGAGACCTGAGCTGGAGAGAACTGCAAGGCCTCCGAGCCCAGGGGGTCAGAGGGAAACAGCGCAGCACTGAGCCGCGTCCCCTGCGACAGCACAGCGTCTGACTGTGGAAAGTCCGCAGGACTGCAGGCGGCAGGGGATTCTGGGTCTGGGCCCACAGTCCCGACAGACTGAGGCCAGGGGGGCACAGAGGATGGCTGCCCAGGCCGCCGTGCGGGGGGAGAGGGGCTCGCAGAGGTGCCGCTCTTTCCCCTATTTGTGGTCTTTGCTTTACTTCCCTGAACCTAGTTGATAGGACCTTTCAGATACAGACACTCACCCGTGGCTGAGGTGCAGGAGGAGGTGCGGACTTGTGGAGTCTGGGGAGAGGCTGGGGAGAGAAGAGGGTCCAGGAGAAGTGGCTGTGAGTCTGGGGCTGAGTCACACCTGATGCATGGGACCTGGGTAGTCATTTTCTCCTAAAGAAATAGCCCCTCACTGCAGTCTCCAGGCAACCAATACAGCCACACCCAGACTACACCCGTAGCACAAGGGATACAAAAGAAAAATAAATCTGAAGAGTCACTGAAAGTCCTCAGGGAGTGGCCTAAAGAGAGGACATTCAGTCCCAGCAACGGGGAAACTGAAAAGCCTCAGACAGGTCAGAACAGTGGGATCTCAAACTAGCCAAAAGAATGACACTTCACTGCAGTCCCGCGCAGCCTACCCCCCATGAGGTCCGGCAGGGCGTGAGCAGTACGACCCCATCCAGAGCGGCAGCCACACGCAGCCCGCACCCGTCCGTCCGTCCGTCCGAGGAGCAGCTGTGTGAGCAGCCCGTGCCCGCCCCCGCCCCAATCCAAGGAGCAGCCCGCTCCGGTCCTAGGAGCATTAGCCTCACCAGCAGCCTTCCCCTGTCTGAGGAGCAGCAGTCGAGTGAGCAGCCGGGCCCCATCCACACGAGCAGGCCGCTCCCATCTCAGGAGCAGCAGCCCCACACAGCCTGCCACCATCCGAGGGACAGCAGCAGTGTGAGCAGTCTGCCCCCAGCCAAGGAGCAGCAGCCACAAGCATCCTGCACCTGTCCGAGGAGCAGCAGCCCTGTGAGCAAGGCTATCATTCAAAATTGAAGGGAAAATAAGGAGCTTCACAGGCCAAAAAAAAAAAAAAAAAAAAGGCTAAAGGACTTTATTACTACCAAGCCATCAATGCAATGGACTGGTGTAAAAGAAGAAATAAAATGGGAAAGAAGGGACACAGATACAAAAAAGGAAAATGGATTCGAACAAGTACCTATCAATAATAACTTTAAACGTAAATAGACTAAATGCTTCAATCAAAAGACAGTAAGTGCTGAATGGATTAAAAAAAAAATGACCCATATACATGCTGTCTATAAGAGACCCATCTCAGATCATGGGACTCACACAGACTGAAAGTGAAGAGATGGAAAAACATCTTCCAGGCAAATGGAAATGAAAAAAAAAAAAAAAAAAACCCAGTTAGCAATACTTATATCTGACAAAATAGACCTCAAAGTGAAAGCTATAACAAGAGATAAGAAAGGCCACTTCATAATCTAAAGGGATCGATACAACAAGAGGATATAATCTGGTAAACATATATGCACCAAATACAGGAGCACCCAAATACATAAAAAAGACTCCTGGAAGATATCAAGGGAGAGATCGACAACAATATAGTCATAGTAAGGGACTTTAATACCACACTGACATCACTGGATAAATCCTCTAGACAAAAAAAATTAGCAAAGAAACAGAAATCCTAAATGACTCACTGGATCAGATGGACTTAATTGACATTTCACCCCAAAGGCACAGAATATACATTTTTCTCAAATACACATGGGACATTTCAAAGATAGACCACATATTGGGTCACAGGCAAAGTCTCCCCATATGCATGAAGATTGATATCAACCATCATCTCAGACCATAATGGCATAATATTAGAAATAAACTACAATAAAAACAGTAAAAAATTCAAACACTTGGAGATGAATAACATGCTATTAAATAATGATTGGGTTACCAAAGAGATCAAAGAAAAAATTAAAAACATCTGGAAACAAATGATAAGGAAAACACAGAAGTTCAAAATCTATGGGACACAGTGAAAGCAGTCCTGAGAGGGAAGTTCATAGCTCTACAGGCCTAACTCAAAAAACAAGAAAAAGTGATAATAAATTATCTAACTCTACAACCATCAATTTAAAATATACTATCAATATAACTTGATATATATTGAGCACTTGATAATTACAAACCCAAAATCTACAAGAGAGATACAAGAAATAAAGAGAAAGGAATACAAACACAACACTACAGAAAGCCACCAACATACAACAAAAGTGAGCAGGAAAATAAGGAAGGATTAGAGAAAAGGTAAAAAATAAATAAATAAAAAATGAGAAAACAACTAATAAAATGGCAAGAACTACATACTATTAATAATTACTTTAAATGTAAAGGGATTAAATGCTCCAATCAACAGACCAATGAATATGGTACATATAATAAAATGGAATCCTATCTAATAAAGATGGAATATGCAAATTGACAGTAATTTCACAACAAAGATGGAAGCACCCACAGCCAATAAGGAAGAAATATGCAAATTGACATGATGAGACAAGAGGTGGAATGGAGCAAAGGTGGAAAGGTGGCTCCAGGCTGGGGAAGGCGGGCCTGCAGCCAGGGGAAGGAAAGCCTATCCTTGCACCAATCTTTTCGTTCATCGGGCCTCTAGTATTAGTCATAAAAAAGAATGTAATCTTACTATTTGTGACAACATGGATGGAGCTAGAGGGCATTATGCCAAGTGAAATTAAGTCAGAGAAAGACAAATACCAGGTGATTTCACTTTTATGTGGAATCTGAAGAACCAAATAAACAAACAAAACAGGAACAGACTCAGAGATACAGAGAACAAACTAAAGGTTTCCAGATGGAAGGGGCTTCGGGGGCTGGGTGAAAAAGAATTAAGAAATACAGAATGGTAGTTACAAAATGCATATAAAGTATAGCATAGGGAATATAATCAGTAATATTGTAATAACTATATATAGTATAATATAGGTATGAGACTAATTGAGGGGATCTCTTTGTAATTTATATAAATGTCTGTACACCTAAAACTAATATAATATTGAATGTCAATTGTAATTGAAAAATAAAAAAATAAATAACAAGTAAAAATTACAAATATGTTCTTCCATTAAATTATTGGGAGTATGGCAAGTAATACCTCACCTAATGTTTCCCTGTGTCCATTTAAATATGATGTTATCAATCTATAGTTTAATGAGTAATTCTTGTGATAAAGAATCAAAAGACTAGGGAAATTTGCTCTGATTCTAGGTCTAGGCATGGAATGTTCAAGTCACTTATTCTCCAAAAATTCTCAAAAATAAAGGAATATTGTTTAGAATCCTAGGACACTGTACAATGTACTAATTAAGTAGCCTTGGGCACAAGCAATTTTTTGTTGTTAATCCTCACCTGAGGATATTTTTCCATTGATTTTTAGAGAGAGTGGGAGGGGAAGAGATAGAGAGCGAGGAGCATCAATGTGGAAAGAAACATGGGCTGGTTGCCTCCTGCATGTGCCTCTATCAGGGCTATGGATTGATCCTGCAACCCAGGTACATGCTTTTAACCAGACTCGAACCCGGGACCCTTCAGTTCATGGGGCCGAATACTTTATCCACTGAGCAAAACTGGTGAGGGCAGCACAAGCAATTTTTAAACAAAAAATATTTACTATTTCCTCTACAATTTTCAAAATCCATGTCTTTTCTGTATCCTTACAATGTTTATCCCAATGCAAGGCATAGAGCAGATATGCATTGATGGAATTAAAATTCTCTAAAAGAAATGAGAATAGTCACTTTGAGATGACACAGTAAATGTTTTTATTTCAGTTTCTACAAGGAGTTGGCACATCAGCCTGTGAAAAGTACTATTTTATTCATTTATTTATTTTCTCAGAATTTGAATTTTCTCTTATTCCTTTTCTTAAAAAGTGAAAGCTCCTCTATCAAGAGTTACTAAATTTAATGGATAGCAATATAACACCTTTTTATCAACTTGCCCTCCTCACCTTCTTTTCTATCCACTGTCTGTATAGTAATATAAGCAAACACTAAGAAATGAGTTACCTCTTAGACATTAAGTTTTGAAAATACCAAAAAACTAAAATTAAGATTACATGTACAGATTAGGCTTCTAATGTAATTAAAGTGTTAATTTTTCATTGCCATTTCTATATGCTGGTATAAATAAAAATATATTTAATATATATACTAGCATGCATCACAGTTTCAAAAAAACAATTCTATATTAAGCTATAAATCTGATGTTTCACAAAGCTTTACCCAACTATGCAGACTTAAAGAACATTATAGAACTTCAAGTATTTTATTATTACTATTATACATAAAAAATGCCATAAAACCTTAAAAGTTTTTTATGTTATAAATAAAATACCTAGAGAATATGATTTGTGCCTTATCTATAATGCTATAAAAACCTGATGATGATTGAACAATAGTACAGGTTTTTATAACTATTTTTAACAATAGGAAAAAAGTCCACTAAATTGAACTAAAAAACTACTTTTAAATCATCTAAATAGGATAATCTAAAAATTTTTATCACTTTGTTAAAATTTAAGAGCTGATGTTTAAATTTTCAAACATGACACCTCTATTATTAAATAAATTACTTCCACACTTTAAAGAATTCAGCTTTGTTTCAAAGTGCTATACTTTAAGAAAAGATTTTCCTAAATAAATCACTATATCAGATAGTCAAGGGAGTTCAAATAAAAGAAAACTCCATTCTAATATTCCACTTGATTCTTGGGCTATATCCACTGACATCACATATTCATTAAATTGTATGTTTGTTCTTGAGATAAAGTTTAATTAATATCTCTCACTAAGAGATATGCCAAATTCACATAAATATCTTTAATTATTTTAGCTAGTTACTTACTGAGAGCCATGCAAGGGATTCCATGATTCGATGTTCACATTGCTCTAAATGTTTTATCATTTCTCTGGTCAAGTTGGCTTCTGCTCTGATAAAACTTTCAATCACTTTGTATAAATCAAAAGCTTTTAAATTAAGTACATTCAGAATCCATGGGAAGGACAAATCTGTGCCAGTATCAAGATTCTGAGATGTACTTCCTAAAAATGAAAGAAAAAAATGTAACTTAGGTATGAAATGTTAAACTACATATTTTTAGGCTGAAAGATTTTATCAAACAAAAAAATTAAGAACACTATAAAAGGCTAAATAAAATTTTTTTATTTAGAACATAATTTTTATTTTGGAGCCCACAGACTCCCAGTATATAGTTTTTGAAATTTTAAGTGTATGTGCATAAATGACGTTCCTAATTTATGTCAAATTTTCAAAGGTTTAAATATACCAAACTTATATCAGGGACAGGTTTAATATCTAATCCAGCAATGCATTAACATACCCATTTTAACTATCTCATCAATACTTGGTTGAGGGAAAGAAGGAATCTTTAAGATTTTGCTAATTGCTTAGAAAATGTTATTTCTTGTAAATGTGCATTTCTTTGTTTTAATGAGGATTCACAGTTTTCCATATTTGTTTACTAATTTAAGTTTCTCTTTTGTTGTGTATTTGTTTCCTTAGATGAATCTTCTTTTGTTTTTAGGAAGGAAGTATTTTTTAATATTTACAATCTTATCTGCAAAATAACACGTTTAAAATATTAAAACACACACACACACACACATCAGTGGCCTCTTTCTGATTATCTGGTGGATTCTAGCTCCAACCTTTGTCACATGATCACAGTATCTAGAGCAGTGCTTCCTATCAGTGGATGCAGCTCCTTAGTACTCTTAGCATTTTACAATCTCATAAGTATTTGAAGAGATTTCAATAGGTACATTTCCTAGATTCAGAATAGCCCCAAAAAGGAGCCCACTGAAATACTATTCCCAAGATAGCTTGAAATAATTCAGAATATAAGCCAATTAAATAAATGGTTTATTGTGACCCATTACATTCTTCAGTATATACTGACTTAAAATATGCATTTTTTCACCTTAACAACATCCATCTTTTCCAAAAACAAACCACACTTTCAATAAGGTTTTTTAATTTTAAATTAAACTAAAATGCTTATTTACTAAAATTTAACTTACTGCTATATGTAGCCACTACAACTTCAAGAGCGCATGCCAACAAAGACATATGAAAGATGTTGTCATTCAGAAGTTTGCTAAAAGAAAAAAATAAAGTGATTTTTAAAAACACTTACTTCTATTTAAAAAAAAAATAAAAAATCTCTTACTAAAGCTAAGAAAATTTACCTAAAATTTTGAATGGACAATCGTTCTTCTTCCTGAAAGACATAAAAAAGTATTATGCTAAGCAAAACAAGTCACTCAGAAAAGATAAGTATCACATGATCTCACTTACAGGTAAAGTCTAATGAACAAAATAAACTGAAAAACAAAATAGATTGAGAAACAGACTGAGGAATCTAAGGGGGGCAGGGACATGGGAAGAGACTAATTACAGAACTTATATGAATACTAGAAGCCCAGTGCACAAATTTGTGCACCAGTTGGGTTCCTCGGGCTGGCCTGCGGGATTGGACCAAAACCGGCTCTCCTGGATTGTGAGAAGGCACAAGTCAGACCAAGGGACCCACCAGTGAATGATCAGGGCTGGGAAGGGACACAGAAGGCTGGCCAGCCGGGGAGGGACTGCAGGAGGGCTCCAGGTTGTATCCAGCCCATCTCACTCAGTCCCAATTGGCCAGACCCAGCATCAAGCTCACCTACCAGTAGGAGCAAGTTCCCCTTGGTGGTCAGTGCAGATTACATTGAGTGGTTGATTGGCATTAGCATATCATTAATATAGTAGAGGCCTGGCGCACGAAATTTGTGCATGGAAGGAGGGTATCCCTCAGCCCAGCCTGCAGATTCTCATTAAGGGCATGTACCTAGGTTACAGGCTCCTCCCTGACTAGGGCACAGGTCAGGGATCATGCAGGAAGCAACCAATCAAAGTGTTCCTTTCACTTTGATGTTTCTGTCTTTCCCTTTCTCTACCACATTCTCTAAAACTTAATGGACATATCCTCAGGTGAGGATAAAAAAATAAATAAAGAAATGTCATATCCTATGAAAGACACATCTTGCAAATGTCTAAAGAAAGTTGTCATTTGTTCTTGGTGAAGGGACTGGAGTCCGTGTTGATGAAAACACCTTGGTGGCTGTGGTGACAGGCAGTGGCTGCAGCAGTGGGGTGATGGGGCTGGTGCTTTCCCCTGAACAGCCTGGTCGCCTCCCACAAAGGGAGGCCAGACTGCGACTTAGGTCTGCTCCCCGTGGAGTGGGCCTAAGCCATCAGTAGGACATCCCCTGAGGGCTCCCAGTATGTGAGAGGGGACAGGTTGGGCTCAGGGTCCCCCACCTCAACCCCAATACACGAATTCCGTGCACTGGACCCCTAGTATAGGATATGCATAACTCATGGACACAGACAATACTATGGTAAAGTCCTGGGGAGAGAGCAGGAGCTGGGTGGAGAGGAATCAATTGGGGGGTGGGGGAGGGGGAATCTGTAATACTTTCAACAATAAAAATAAACTTTTAAAAAATGTTTTGCTGAAACCTTTTTTATGTTGGCATTTAAATTTTTTCTATTATTTTTTTTAACTTACTGATTTAAGCATGGATTCCATTACTCGGTAATACAACCGAACTCCAAGTTTGTATCGCTACAAATAAAGAAAAATAATTATATCCCACTACTTTAGAAAACCATAACAATTATTAATCTTTTTAAAGTTTTCCTTGAAACACATTTCTGAACTTTCTTAGGAATATGACTACCAAGAGATCAGGAAAGCTAGCTTGTCTAAAACTCAACACTTAAATATAAATGATAGCTAACATGCCCAATAAATTATCAAGAGGGAGGTCTTTGTTTTCATTCATACCATTTCATTCAATAGATTATATGTATCAGCAAAAAGTTTTAACCTAACAACTAGTTCCCATTAGCTCAAAGAATAATCAAATTTTAGAAATATATACACATGCAGACACACACATGCTCACTCTAAACCATATTGCTTCATTTTAAATTATGAGCATAAATTTCGTATACAAACAAAAAGAACTTCGCAAGTAGGAGAGTGTAAAGGGGGGATAAATGGTAATGGAAAGAGACTTGACTTGGGTAGTGAACATACAACATACAGATTATATATTATAGAATTATCCCCTGAAACCTATATCATGTTATTAACCAATGTTACCTCCAATAAATTCAATTAAAAATTAAATATAATTGTTTAAAATACTCATGGCATCAAAATATAAACCACCACACTGAAATAAATGTGTATAGTAGAATATAGTTTCCAAATATATCTTTATGTATTCCCTCATTAATGTCACAACAAAGCCCAGCAAATAAAAAATCTGATTTTTTTATTTGGTCGACAGTGACCTGGTTCATAGGTCAACACTAAACCACTGAAGTCCAGCTAGTGTAGTTCAGTGGTTTAGTGTTGACCTATGAACCAGGAGGTCACAGTTCGATTCCTGTTCAGGGCACATGCCCAGGTTGCAGGATCGATCCCCAGTATGGGGTGTGCAGGAGGCAGCCAATCAATGATTCTCTCACATCACTGATGTTTCTCTCTCTCTCTCCTCTACCTTCTTCTCTGAAATCAATACAAATATTTTTTTAAAAAACACACCCAATTTTCAGAAAAGTTAAATGATTGATTATAATGATAGAACCAGATGGTTCTGGTCCAGAGCCCATACTCTTATCCAACATATTAGTTTTAAATTTTCTGAAATAATAATAGCAGTATTAAAAATACTACTGATAAATGGCATGTATAACATAATCCCATTCCATACAAGTATATGCATACAGAACTATTCCTAAATGTAGAAATCAAAGCATGTGCAATAATATTTAATAGTATCAAATATTTAAAAAAAAAATTTCTTCCTTGATTTTTTTTAAACATCTACACTTTTTCTAAAATTTTCTGCATATTTACTTTTTTTTAAATATAGAAGTGAAGGGTATTTACCCATAAAGATTTCCATACTAGCAACATAGATGAGCAGTAGAGATATAGTATGTGTCAGTATTTTATTCTACTGGACAAATAACATAATACTTATACAGTTTGAACAGATGTTGCATTTGAAATATAACAGCAGTAATCAAAATTATAGTTACCTGTGACCCAATTTCTATACATCCCTGTCCCATAGCTTTAGCAAACTTCTCTTTAAATATGTATCCAATATCCTGCACTCTTTTCAGGATACTTCCCATTGGATTCACTGTGCATTTCTTTAAGAAGAAAAACAGAAATATTGAGAATACTTTTTAATCAAAATTAACATATTGTCTATACTATACTTCACTAGCCATTAGGGAAATAAAAATCCAAACTACAATGAGATACCACCTCACACCTATTAGAATGGCTATTATCAATAAGACAAGTAATACCAAGTGTTGGAGAGGTTTACTGCTGGTGGGAATCACTATGGAAAAGTGCATGGAGGTTCCCAAAAGTTAAGAATAGAGTTAGCATATGACCCAGACACCCCTCTTCTTGGTAGCTACCCAAGAAACTTGAAGCCGAAACCGGTTTGGCTCAATGGATAGAGCGTCAGCTTGGGGACTGAAAGGTCCCGGGTTCAATTCCGGTCAAGGGCATGTATCTTGGTTGCAGGCACATCCCCAGTAGGGGGTGTGCAAGAGGCAGCTGATCAATGACTCTCTCTCACTGATGTTTCTAACTCTGTATCTCTCTCCTTTCCTCTCTGTACAAAATCAATAAACGGAGAGGGGAGGGGAGGGGAAGGGAGGGGAGGGGAGGGGAGGGGAGGGGAGGGGAGGGGAGGAAGGAAGGAAGGAAAACATCCTGTCCTTTGCAGGTGTGTTAGGTGTGTTTAAAAAAACAAAAACAAAAAAAAACTTGAATATGTTTATTTGCAAAGATATAATATATGCACTCCTATGTTGATTGCAGCATTATTAACAGTGGCTAAGACATGAAAACAACCAAAGTGTCCTTCAATACATGATTGGATAGAAGTACAAATATACAATGGAATATTACTCAGCCATAATTAAAAATAAAATACTGCCATGTGTGACAACACAGGTGAATCTTGGGAATATCATGCTAAGGGAAATAAGTCAGAAAGAAAAAGTTAGGAATAATGTCATTTCATCCATATGAGGGATATAAAATTGAAAATAACACATGAACAAACAAGATAAACAAGCAAAAACGTATAGTCAAACACAACACTATAGTGGTAATCTGAGGGATGGGAAGTGGGAGGGGTAAACAGTAAAAGGGGTCAAATAGTTGGTGATGGAAGATTTGACTTTGGGTGGTGAACACACAATATAGTATACAGGTGATGTATCACAGAACTGTGCACTTGAACCTATATAATCTTATTGCTATCTAATACCATCTCTAATAAGTTTAATTAAAAAAATAAAATTGTATTACAAATATGTTTAAAAAGGAGAGAAGACCTAAATAGTCATTTTTCCAAAGAGGACATACAGATGGCCAACAGGTATATAAAATGTTGCTAATCATCAGAGAAATACCAATCAAAAACCACAATGAGATATAACATCACAATGGTTAGAATGACTAAGACAAAAAAGATAAGAAATAACTGGTATTAATGAGGATGTAGAGTAAAGAAAACACTTATGTACTGCTATGGAAAATAGTATGGAAATTTCTCACAAAAAAACAAACAAACCTAAAAATATAACTACCATAATATTCAGCAATCCAACTTGGTATTTATCTAAAGAAAATAAAAACACTGACACAAGAGGATGTCTGCACCCTCATGACCATTGTAGCATTATTTACAACTAGAGGCCCAGTGCATGAAATTCTTGCACTGGGGGTGGAGGGGTGTCCTCAGCCCAGCCTGCACCCTCTCCGATCTGGAACGCCAGGGGCTGTCTGACTGCCGGTTTAGGCCCAATCCCTGTGGGATCAGACATCCCTCTCACAATCCGGGACTACTGGCTCCCAACTGCTCGCCTGCCTGCCTGCCTGCCTGCCTGCCTACCTGATTTCCCCTAACCACTTCTGCCTGCCAGCCTGATTGACAACTAACTGCTTCCCTGCCAGCCCGATTGCCCCCAACTGTCCTCTTCTGCAGGCCTGGTTGCCTGCAATTGCCCTCCCCTGCAGGCCTATTTGCCCCCAACTGCCCTCCCCTGAAGGCCTCTTGCCCCCCAATTGCCCTCCCCTGTCAGTCCAGTTGTCCTCAACTCCCTTCCCCTGCCGGCCTTGTTGCCCTTAACTGCTTTCCCCTGCCAGCCCTGTCACCCCTAACTTCTCTCCCCTGCTGGCCTGAATGCCCCCAAATGCCCTCCCTTGCAGGCCTGGTCCTCCTACCTGCCCTACCCTGCAGGCTGGGTTGCCCCCAAATGCCTTCCTATGCAGTCCTGGTTGCCTCCAACTGAATTACCCTGCTGGCCCTGTCACCCCTAACTTCCCTCCCATACCACCCTGGTCACCCCTAACTGCCTTCCTCTGCCAGGGCCTGATCGCCCACAACTGCCCTTCCCTGCCCATCTGATTGCCCCAAGCTGCCCACCCCTGCCAGCATGATCATCCATAATTGCCCTTCCCTGCTGGCCTGATTGCCCAAAACTGCCCTATCCTCTCGCAACCTGCCACCTCCACCGGGACCGGCCTCCTCCACGCTGAGCAGAGCTGCAGGACCCCCAGGACTCACCTTGCAGAGGGGCCATCGTGTCCCACCTCCACTGTCTGCACAGCCATCTTGTGGCGGCCATCTTGTGATGGCGTCACACAAGGGTGTGACACCACCTTGGCTTTTATTATATAGGATTATGGCTTACCAAAAAAATGAAACAATTACCAAAATCAAAAAAGAGCCTCATATGCTCTCATATATTATCTTCAATTATGCGTTACATTAGAATGTATGTTATGCCCAAAAAAGGCAACTGACAAAATTGAAACTAATATTTGAGCTTGGTATCATTTCCTATTTTAAAATTGTGCTTTCAGGAGAGTCCAAAATGGCAGTATAAGCGGAAGCTAAACTAACATATTCCCAGGACTAAAATGGAATTACAAATAAAATACAGAAAAAACCATCCTAAATGATCAAATGAAGACTAGCTGGAGAGAACCATCATATCCAAGGATGGAAAGTGAAGACCACATAGTGACTGGTAGGAAGTGTAGAGGCACGAAAAGGCTAGCCAGGCTCCCTAGAGAACAGCTTAAGTTCCAGAGGGATATCTCAGCAGTGGGGGGGGCTTCCCACTGAGAACTCTGGGGCCTAAACCCCAAGCTAGTCCCCCAGCTCAGAGTAGCAGAACTGAGAAAGGTGCCCACACAACATCTGCTGGTTTGCTATCTTCCAGATGTGGCCAGCTGGAAATACAGGCACCCACGTAAAGGGCAAACACACAACATTTTGTATGCAATTACTCTCCTTGGGCTCTGGCAGAGGGAAGGTAGAGTAGACCGGAGCTGTGTGAGGAGAGTCCAAGGTTGGGGACTCTGGGATTGGAGCTTGGAGGGCATCTACCTGGTTTCCTGTGTTGATTCATTCCCTCGTTCTTTGGAGACCTTTACCATCCAGGCAGCTTTTGCCTTGGAGGGGAGATGGGGGGGTGGAGGGGGGCACCCTATTGGAAAACCCCTTGGCCCAAACTATGGAATTGCTGAGGTGCATTAAGAGACTGTGAAATTTCTGAGGCCCATTATGAGAATAACATTCAGCCTGCAGGAAGAAGAAATTGCCCCACCATATTGGAAACCCTTTTGCACCACTCTGTAGTCCATAGCCTGAGGCTAATCAAGACTAAGTAACAATTAGGCTACAGGCAGAGGCAGGTCTCTGTAGGCTTTGAGTCTTTGCTTGATCCCCTTCTGGGCCCAAAGTTAGGAAAATTTTTGTCCTTTCCAAAGGCATTGAGCCCCAGCAGAGGGAGCCACAAGCTATGAATTGCTAATAGTTCCAAACAGGGTACCCAGGGCCAGTCACAAACAGCATCTGACATTGTCCTGCAATAGAGATTGGGAGTGGTAGCAGATTTACCTAATGACAGCCAAAATCAGAACAGAAAAAAATCAAGCCCAAATGAAAGAACAAGCGAATTCTCCAGAAGAAGAGTTAAATGAAACTGAGATAAGAAACTTATCAGATATAGAGTTTCGAATAATGATGGCAAGGATGCTCAAGAGCATGAGAAAAGATATAGTAACTATGAAAAAAGATAAGTCAGAGTGGTGGGGGCTGATCGGGGGTTGGGCCAGCTGTGGGGAGGGGCTGTGGGCAGTGGGCCAGTAGGCCCTGCCCCTGAATGGGGTGGAGGGTCCCGATCGGAGGCCAGTAGCCTAAGGTAGGGGCCATGGGTAGTTGGCCTACTGGTCCTGCCCATGATCTGAGTGGCGGGACTAATCAGGGTCAAAGCTGGCTGGGAGGAGGGGTCGCAGCTTGATTGATTGGAGTGGTAGGGACCCATGGGGGCAGAGCCAGCAGTGGGGAGGGATTGGCTGGTTGGCCCTGCCCCCTACTGAGATAAGGGGGACAATTAGGGGTAGGGCCAGCTGGGGGTGGGGCTGAGGGCAGATTGGGGTGGGATTGGGGTGGTGAGGGCCCACCGGAGGTGGGGCTGGCTCGGGGGAGGTGCTGTAGAAGGTTGGCTGACTGGCCCCACTCCCTATTTGGGGGGGGGGGGGGATGGTCAGGGGTGGAGCTAGCCAGGGGGAAGGACTGTGTGAGGGTGGGGGGTTGGCCAGGCAGCCCCACCTCCCTATCGGGCTGATTCACTGGTGGCAGTGGGCATCATAGCAAAAGGTCATTTCCGGTCATTCTGGTCATTCCAGTCACTGGTTATATATATATATATATATATATATATATATATATATATATATATATATATATGAGAAACTAATCCCATTTACAACTGCAACCACAACAAAAATTAAGATACTTAGGAATAAATTTAACCAAGGAGGTAAAAGACTTTGTACTCAGAAAACTACAGGACATTGAAAAAAGAGACAGAGGAAGATATAAACAAGTGGAAGAACAAACCAAGTTCATGAATTGGTAGAATCAACATCATTAAAATGTCCATACTACCCAAGCAATCTACAGATTCAATATAACCCTACTAAAATACCAACAGCATATTTCACAGATCTTGAACAGATACTCTAAAAGTTTATATGAAACCAAAAAGGACCGTGTATAGTTGTAGCAATGTTGAGAAAGAAGAATAAAGTTGGAGGGATTACAATACCAGATAACACGTTATACTACAAAGCCACTGTAATCAAATAGCCTGGTACTGGCATAAGAACAGCATATAGATCAATGGGACAGAACAGAGAATTCAGAAGTGGACCTAACCCATTATGCTCAATTAATATTTGACAAAGGAGGCAAAAGCATCCAATAGAGTCAAGACAGTCTCTTAAGTAAATGGTGTTGGGAACATTGGTCAGGTACATGCAAAAAAATGAAACTAGATCACCAACTTACACCAAACACAAGAATAAATTTAAATGGATACAAGACTTAAATGTAAGTTGTGAAACCATAAAAAACCTAGAGTAAACTATAGCAGCAAAATCTCAGACATCTCTCATAGCAATATATTTACAGATACATCTCCTAGGACAAGGGAAACTAAGGAGAAAATAAACAAATGGGGCAACGTCAAAATGAAAAGCTTCTGCACAGCTAGAGTAACCATCAACAAAACGAAAAAGGGACCCTCTGTATGGGAGAAAATTTTGGCAATGAGACATCTGATGAAGGGTTACTACCCAAAATATATAAGGAACTCATACAACTTAACAAAAGGAAGACAATAACATTTAAAAATATGCAGAGGAGCTATATAGACACTTCTCCAAAGTGGACATGCAGATGGCCAAGAGACATATAAAAACATGCCCAGAGTCACTGGTCATCAGAGAGTTGCAAATTAAAATGACAATGAGGTATCACCTCAAACCTATCAGAATGGCTACCATCAACAAATCAACAAATGACAAGTGCTGGGGTAGGATATGGGGACATCTATAATAATGTCAATAAAAATAAAGTTAAAAAAATAAATTATAAGAAAAAATGCTGAGTAAGATAAATAAATAAGAGGAAATCTAAGAAAAATGCTGTCTACTAGTAACACCTACTAATAATACCTAATATTGAAGATTTAAAACAATAATAAGGTAATAGACAACTATATTCTTATTGATTGGGAGATAAGTATTTTAAAAATACTCAGAATTTTAACTTCTAATTTCAAATTTATTTGCTAAGGTATTACAATAAATAATGTTCATATATGGCTTACATTAAAATAGGAAATCAGATTTTCTGATGGTTGATCACTTGCTGAATTTAAGATCATCATTAATTGTTGGATAGTGTTCATAACAGTCCTAGACAAAAAAAGAAATGTTAAACAATGAAGGGGGGGAAAATGAAATGTAGCTAACACACAAATTAAATATATCTTCAAACTCACTGTCTCCCATTTATCTTTAAAAAGTTCTCTGCAATAAAACCCTTAGTATACTATTATTTACAAGGAATTATATTTTACTTAAAGCTTAAAGAAAAGATGTGTTCATAATAAATATGTTTATGAAAAACGATGAACTTATTTACTAATAGAACTATAAATCAATATAACATTGTGGTCAAATTCAACATTATATTAAGGAGAAAACATAAGCTGGCATCAAAATAGTAATCTTTTAATATAATTAAATACTAAACTTTTCCAAATAAAGACAGCAAGAAATTTTTCAAAAGGAAAGCATACATAATTTTAGAAGTCATCATTGTTAAAGCATAAAATTCTGTCAATATCTTAGGAATTTTCTTTAATTCTATAATTATATGATTGACAGTACAATAAATATTCATGTTCCAATTTTGCAGTAGCAGTACATTGCTACTGTAGGAACTACTTAATGGTGCAAAGAACTGTAGAATATTTATGATTAAAAATATTATTAAATATTATTCAGTAAAATGTTTTCAGTGTTCTCAGTAAACTGATATCTACACTTCCTTACCTTTCAAATACATTGCTTCTATGACTTGTACATCCAATGATCTGCTTAAAGCACAGTGACTTAAGTCACAAACTTCTAAACCAAAAATCTTTCTCATTTTATCTTATATTTGACTTCCTTGAGGTATACTTGACTTCCTTATACACCTGCTCTTTCCTGAAACTGCTCCGCACCCCCTCCTGCACCCCTTGGCTTTTCTGCCTTCACTCTCTTGAGCTCCCAATCACACTCCTCATTTAATCTACCTTCTATTTAGTCCTTCAATGACAGCATTCTTTCTGGTTCAGCCCTTAGCCATACATTCTTGCCATTATACACCCTCACTTCAGGGAACCTCATCTACTTTTTGGGCTTTCACTCTCCCTGATTATTCCTAAATATATAAGATCCTTATGTCCTACTACTTATTACACATCTTCATAGTCCATAAAAGCCTCAAAAATAATATTCTAAATATGAATTCATCAAGTTCTTGCAAAACTGTTCTTGCTCCTTCATTTCCACTGCCTATCTCTTGTTTCAACATCTTTCAACTAAATTACTGCAATAAAACAGTCCAGAGAGTTTGACTCACTATGTCTATGGTAGTAGGCTCTAGGCACATATACTTTGAAAAAACTCCCCAGGTTATTATCATTTGACCCCTGGTTAAGAACCATTGTGACAGATTAACAGGTCTCAGTATTTCACACCATGTTCGCCTCCACCTTCTCACAAACTAACACCATGTAGATTAAAAGCCAAGTCTGATTTTATACTTACCTCTGCTTAACACCCATTTATACCAACAGACTATGTATATTATGCACAAACTAATGTCAAAACTTGTAAGTATGGCAAATAAGATCCTTCATAATCTGATTCCCACCATCCTCTCTTGCTGTCATTTTCCCATTTTACAGTCAATCACTACAGAGCTGCTGATAGTGCCCAGGACACATCTTGTTTCTTTCTTCCATCCCTTTGCATATGCTGTTTCCACCCACTAACATGCCACTATCCTGTGACATAAATCTTTACATATTCAAAATTCAGTTCAAATATCACTTCATAAAGTTCATTCTGTGCCATTTCATTAACTTGTCTTAAATCTATTACTACACTTACACAAAAATGTATTTTATATCTCTAAATAGTCATTTAAAAATATTACTAATTACTTACTAAATGCCCAGTATTAGCCTTGGTCCTAATTATCACATGCTAAACAAAAAAGTCATGGTCCATGTGGTATACAACTTAAAGGCTATTGGATATTAGCAAAAACAAGCAAACACACAAATCGTTTTCTAATTACACATTGTGATGCACATTATGAATGAATTCAAAGGGATGCTCTGAGAAGGAATACAAGAAAATATTTCAGAACGAAAAAAATCTTTTTTTAAAAGTACTATTTGTGCCAAACCTAAAGGAACTGTACAGTTGGTAATTCATGGAAAGAAAAGAGTTAAGAGGGAAAAGCAAGTGTGAAAGTACTCAAGCACAAAAGAAGAGGCTGGTTGGAGAGTTCAGGAAACTGGCTAACATATAATGAAGAGAAAAACAAGATGAGGTTAGATAGGCAACACATCTACATCATATAAGACCTTGTAAGTATTATTTAAAAATTTGCATTGTATTTGCATTGCAACAGGAAACAATCAGAAGGTTTAATGGCAGAGGAGTGATCATGAACAGAATTAAAGAATATTATTCTGGGAGCTCTAGAGAACAGATTTGGTGGTAGACAGAAAGAAATGGGAATGAGATGAGACAATAAGATACCTCAAAAATAAAATAAAAAGATATCTTGGACAAGGGTGGTTAGAGTAGAAATGGAGAATAGTAGATGGGTTCAAAAATATTTTAGAGGTAAATTTAATAAGACTTAAAACATTATATTTGGGAAGTAAGTGAGGATAAGGTCATAAGAAAATGGTTCTAATCCTTCTATGTTATATGCAAACCAAATGGTGAAACATATTTTTAGTTTTTCATTTACTGAGATGGAACACATTCCCACTCTAGATATATTCCTTAATGAGACAGAACTAGGTCTAATAATCATATCCTCAGCCATTATCAAAATATTAAATACAAAAAAGCACTCAAAATACTATATTTGTGGAGTCTATATATAAATAAAGAATAGAATAAATAAGCAAACCCAAAGCTCTATGAAGCATCGGATAAAAAAGTATAATGAAAATGAAGAGTAAGACAGTTCATACCTAACTGGAGTCTGGGGAAGGATCACATTCTGCTCTTCATCATTATTACTTTTTCGTGGTGTTCTCTGCATTTCAAAACTAAATAATGAAAAGCAAAGTCATTCAGACTGAAAATTTACACTTTACTTTATGAGTAAAAAAAACAAACAGAAACAATATGTTCCATTGCCTCATAACATGATACAAAATGACAAGTCTGTAATAGAAGTGATAGGAATCAGATAATCTAACAGTTGCATAAATAAATAAAATTATGGTGTGTTTTTTAATTCTTCAACTAAAGAAATTTTTTAGTTGACAGAAAGAGAAAAGGAGAGAGAGAGAGAGAGAGAGAAAGAAAGATAACCATCTATGTGAGAGAGAAACATTACTAGTATTATAGTACTCAGTTGCCTCCTGTACATGCCCCAAGGGGGAATCAAATCTGCAACCTCCTTTTGATGTACCTGAGGACACTCCAATCAATTGAGGCACCAGGCCAGGGCTTTCACTATTGTTTTTAAATAGGGTTTCTTTCTACTACTATGTTTCCCTGAAAATAAGACCTAGCGCATGGAAAGATAAGACATCCCCTGAAAATAAGACCTAGCGCAACTTTGGGAGAAAAAGTTAATATAAGACACTGTCTTATTTTAGGGGAAACAGGGTAGGTTTATGACAAACAGGTACAATCATTAAGGATTTTTTGAAAGAGAAAGATATTTTCTCTACAAAGATTGATATTCAGCCGAAACCGGTTTGGCTCAATGGATAGAGCGTCGGCTTGGGGACTGAAGGGTCCTGGGTTCGATTCCGATCACGGGCATGTACCTTGGTTGTGGGCATATCCCCAGTAGGGGGTGTGCAAGAGGCAGCTGATGGATGACTCTCTCTCTCATTGATGTTTCTAACTCTGTATCTCTCTCCCTTCCTCTCTGTACAAAATCAATAAAATATATTTAAAAAAAAAAAAAGATTGATGTTCAATGGCATTATAAATCAATTTTTCCATGTCAAAAAATATCAAAGCTGGCTGAAACCAGTTTGGCTCAGTGGATAGAGCGTTGGCCTATGGACTGAAGGGTCCCAGGTTCGATTCCGCCCAAGGGCAACTACTGTGGTTTCGGGAACATCCCCAAACCAGGATGTTGTACAGGAGGCAGCTGATAGATGTTTCTTTCTCATTGATGTTTCTAACTCTATCCCTCTCTGTTCCTCTCTGTAAAAAAATCAATAAAATAAAAAAAATAAAAAATATATCAAAGTTCAAGTTTTTCAATCATTATGCCTTCCAAAACCTTTACTTTTATTTAAATAAAATTAGAAATACTTACTTGTATTTAATTACAAAATTATTATTACAAAATAATACATATTAAAATAATTACAAAATTAATACATATTATAGTATTTTAATAATTTAATATGGCTAAAGCCATATTAATCATACTTATGGTCATTTAAAAATTTTTGTAATTACTCTCAATCATTAGTATAAAATCTCAATACTACCCAGAGCAATATACAGATTCAAAGTAATTCCTATCAAAATTCCAATGGCATTTTCCATAAAAGCAGAACAAACGATCCTAAAATTTGTATGGAATCACAAAAGAACCCAAATAGCCAAAACAATCTTGAAAAAACAAAGAACAAAGCTGAAACCATAACACTTTGTGATTTTAAACTACATTATAGAGGTAGCGTAATCAAAATAGTATGACATTGGCAGACAGACAGACGTTTGATCAAGGGAACAGAATAGAAACCCCAGAAAAAAAAGAAAAAAAAACACACACACACATATATTATCAATTAATTCATAAGAAGCCAAGAATTTAGAATAAGGAAAGGACAGTCTCTTCAATAGGTGGTGCTGAGCCCTAGCCCAGCGGTAGACAAACTGTGGTTCACGAGCCACAGGCGGCTCTTTGGCCCCTTGAGTGTGGCTCTTCCACAAAATACCACATGCAGGTGCGCATGTACAGTGCTATTGAAACTTCATGTCCCATGCACAGAAGTTGGTTTTCGGCTCTCAAAAGAAATTTCAATCGTTGTACTGTTGATATGTGGCTCTATTGACTAATGAGTTTGCCAACCACTGCCCTAGCCCATGTGGTTCAGTGCTAGAACACTGGCCCATGGACTGAAGGGTTGTGCTCGATTCTGGGTTGTGGGCCAGGGTGCATGCAGTAGGCAACTGATGTGTCTCTCTCTCTCCCCTTCCTCCCACTTTCCTCCTTTCCTTTCTCCTACCTCCCTCCTCCCTCCTTTCCACTCTTTGAAAATTAATGGAAAAAATATTGTTGGTCGTGCTGATAGAACTGGACACCTACATACAAATGAATAAAATTTGACTACTATCTTACATCATTCTAAAAAATTAACTCAAAATAGATTAAAAACATGAATGTAGGACAGAAAACCATAAAACTCCTTAAAAAAAGCAGAGGTGTTTAGAAGCTCTTTGACATTAGTAATGGAAATGTTTTTAATCTGACACCAAAAGCAAAGACAACAAAAGCAAAAATAAACAAGTAGAAGTACACTGAACTAAAGAGCTTCTGCACAGCATATGAAACCATGAACAAAATGAAAAATGGCAATCTACTCAATAAGAGAAAATATTTGTAAATCATATCTCATAAAAGGTTTATATTAAAAATATATAAAGAACTCAATTTCAAAAACACATATTGAAAAATGAACAGATTTGAATAGACATTTTTCCAAAGACATACAGATGGCCAATAAGTACATCATCATTAGTCTTCAGAGAAATGCAAATCAAGACCACATTTAAATATCATCTCACACCAGTTAGAATGACTATTACCAAAAAGACATTAAATAACCAATGTTGGCAAGGATGTGGAGAAAAGGGAATACTTGTGCACTGTTGGTGGGAATGTAAATTGGTGCAGCCAGTATGAATAATAATATGGAAGTTCCTCAAAAAATTAAAATTGAGCTACTACATGATCCAGTAATTCTACTGCTGGGAATTTATACAAAAACACTAAATTGAAATGATACCTGCACCCCCATGTTCATTGCAGCATTATTTATAATAATTAAGATATAGAAACAAATGTCAATTGATGGATGAATGATAAAGAAATTTTAAGACCATATATATATATATATATATATATATATATATATATATAAATAAAACAATGGAGTATTATTCAGCCATTAAAAAGAAAGAAATTTTGCCACTGCAATCTTAAAAACATTACGTTAAGTGAAATGCCAGAAAGAAAAAAATAAATACAGTATAATTTCTCTTATATATTTTCTTTTTTAATTTAAACTTTTAAATATAGAGAACCAACCAGAGGGAATAAAAGGTAGTGGGTGAACTTTTTTTAGTTTAAAAAATCGAAAATCATATATTCAATTGGCTGGTCAGCATCTTCACTTTCCTCTTCTCTAACTTATGTTTGATTGCTTTCTTATGTATACAAATTTATCCCATCCTAGTTTTATGAAAAATATTCAACCCTATCAGTTGAACTGGTATTGCTAGCATTTTCTATCACTTTTCAATTTACAAATTTTCATTCATTAATATATATGTTATATAATGCAAAGTACTAGGTGTACCAGTTATAATAATGCAGATTTTGTTCAATAGATGGAGTTACACATATGTTGATATATATGCAATTTGATATGTATGCTATTTTGTTGTATTGACAACAAGCTTCAAAACTTCATATGACAAATTTTCTGAAGTAACATCATCTATGTTTCTATGATGTAACATTATCTATGTTACATTATAGATATTTTTACACTTAAAAATGTCAAATTTCATACCAAAAAAATAGAGCATTTGCGGGAAGTTTTAATTCATTATTTTAAAGAAAAGTGCTGCTGAATATTTCGGGAAACTTATGGTGAACATGCTCCATCTCAAGATACTTGTGAATGCCGATTTAAACGCTTTAAAGGTGAGGATTTCAATATGAAAGACAAAGACGTCCAGGTCAACTGAAAAGTTTGAAGACCAACAATTACAAGCATTATTGGATGAAGATGCGTGTCAAACTCAAAAACAATTTGCAGAAAGATTAAACCTTGCTCAGCAAACAAATTTCTGATATTTTACAAGCAATGGGAAATATTTTAAAGAAAGAAAATGGGTGCCACATCAACTGAAAGACAGACAAATGGAAAACCAAAAAGTCCTCAGAAAAATGTTGGTTCAATGGCATGAAAGTCTTTTTTGCATGCAATTGTGACTGGTGATGAAAAGTGGATTTATTTTGAGAATCCCAAATGCACAAAATCATGGGTTGATCCAGGTCAACCATCAACTTCGACTGCAAGGCCAAATCGCTTTGGAAAGAAGACAATGCTCTGCGTTTGGTGGGATCAGGAAGATGTGGTGTATTATGAGCTTCTAAAACAAGGTGAAACTGTTAATACTAATTGCTACCGACAACAAATAATAAATTTGAACCACGCTTTGATCGTGAAACGATTAGAATGTGCCAGAAGATACTAAAAAGTAATTTTGCTTCATGATAATGGACCATCACACATTTCAAAACAAGTTAAAGACACGTTAAAAGATCTTGCCTGGGAAGTATTAACCCACCCGCTGTATTCACCAGACCTTGCTCTTTTAGATTACCACTTGTTCTGATCGATGGCACACGCACTTTCTGAGCAGCACTTCTAAACATACGAAGGTGTGGAAAAGTGGGTCTCTGAATGGTTTATCTCAAAACAAGAAAAGTTCTATTGGAACCAAATCTACAAATTACCTGAAAGATGGGGAAATGTGTAGCTAGTGATGGACATTACTTTGAATAAAGCACTTTTGAAGTTTCTCTTGAAATTATCGTCTTTTCTTTGAGTACAAAATCCGCTGTTATTAACCAGTACACCTAGTATATATGTGACTCTACAGTAAATGCTTGCATTGTACAGATGAGGAAATTAAGACTCAGTGAGGAAAAGTGAAAACAACTACATTCCAGAAAGCATGAAGGAAATACTGAAAAATTTATTCTCTGCCTTGACTTGATTGGAGAAAAATTACTTTAAAAGGATATTAAAAATCAACACTAACCTGTGCATACCAGGAAGCAAATAGACAATACATTACAGAAGATATTTTTCACTTGTTTAAATAAAAAAGAATAGGTTCAAATCTATGTGTAAAGCTAAGACACTGTATCATAAGAAATCTCCATTTGTTAATAAATTATATGTTTAAATATTGTTTATCTTATTAGCTTTATAGAAAGACATCTGAAGTAATCATTATAAATGTTATTTAAAGATCATTAAGTTAAACAAAAACCTGTTTAACCTACCTCTATCAAAACTGACCTACAACAAAGCATTTAAACAAAAATATACCATGTACAATACCTGTCTATAGGATCAGCATGCAGAGTTTTATCATGATCCAAAAATAATCTTGCATCTAGATCTTTGTTTTTAAGGTAAATTTCTTCATATTGTTTAGAGAGACTTTCCACCTCAAGAGAAAACAATACTGATGATTATACTTTCATGTCATTACATCTCTCAATACACAGAAGATTAATTAAAGAATTTTTATACAATATACTTAATTTTACTACACATTAAGTTCACATGAAATATAAATAAGGCATATGTGCAAGTGAAGTAAACTGCAAATTTTTAATTCTAATTTTAACGTATTTTATGCATGCACCCCATTCATTAGAATTTCATATAGACAAGATTCATCAATGCCCAAATCAGTACTGAGATGGAACTGTAAGATAAAAATAAGTATTATTATAACCATTTAACTGCCAAGATCCTCCAAACGTCTCATACATTTTTCACTTTTAATCTACTATACTTATCAATATAAAATGAAGTATTTTTCAAATACTGTAACAAATTCTCTTGACTATATATATTCTTCCCATCTTTTCTAAATCTTTTCATTCACTCCAACTTCCTTCAGTTAAGTATGTTAGGCAAGAGTATTTGCTCAATTAACTAGACCAATTAACATATTTGCATGATTTATTCCCACTCTTAGACACTTTTTCAATTGCTGAAATCTGCAATTATTTTATCAGTTCTGTTTCATAATTTTGACTCATAATTTAAAAATCAATGCACAATAGACAACTATTTGGCATGCCTTCTGTGTGCCTTTCAAGGCAAAAGTGTTTCCAACCTGAGGGTACTAAAATTTGCATTCTAAAAGGAGTGGAAGAAGAAATCCAGTTAAGTATAAACTTTTTGTCTGCATAAATTTTTAGATACAACAATCATTAATGTTTAAGTTTAATAAGTGTTACTGCCCTAGCTTAGTGAAACACTATCATTTATTGATTGATAGCTATGAGTACTATATGCAAAATATTGGGGGGAAATGACAAATTTATCTTAAGATTTTTATTAAAATTATAATCCTTTCTTGTAGAAAAATTACTACAAGTGTCCAACATTTTTTAGAGTTGTGAACAGCATATTTTTTAATAACAAGATTCAGTAATACAACATTCGGCCCCCGTTTGCCTCTCTTTTGCCCTGTAACCCAACCTTAACTAGTTGGAGTTCACTGAACAGACCAAACTATCACATATCACTGTGCCTTTGAATCTGTAATTTCCAACCCTTGGAAATGCCATTTTTCATAAAACTTGCTCATCTCAGAAATGATATCAATCCAAACAATTTTCCACAAAACCTATCTGCCCCACTTTGGACTAGGTTGACCTCCTCTAAAATATTACAACACCCTGTATATACTTCTATCAGACTTTTATAGACTCCTGTAATGTTCTATTTATTTGTCTATGTCCCACTAGCACCTCAATGACAGTAGCTACAAGTTAAATCTCTGTATCCATGACATCTAGCACAATGCTTGGCACATACTAAGCACTCAATAAGTAGGGTTGTATGAGTGAATGAATGATTTCAAGGACTACCTACCAGTTCAGGCCACAGAATCAGCAGTCTAGCTATCTGATTTCACATCTTTTGGTCTTAGTGACTAATGCTAGCTGCTTTTAAAATACTGCTTTATCACTGAGTACTTGTTCTTCAGCCTCTATCTGAAGCACCCTTTCCTCCACATATTTTACCTTACCACGTAAGTTCTCAGTTGTTCTGTTCTCGTTAAAGAGCAAACCATTTAAGGCAAAATGTGAAGAAAAAAAGAACGGATGGATGGTACACCGTTAAGGTAAAATATTTCTGCAATATAATCACAGTCATTTCAACCAAATTTATGACACAACCATTTTCAATTATGTAGTTTTTAAAAAATACTCAAAATGCTCTTCAATACAATAATGGCAATAAAGTTAATGGCATTAATTATTGATCCTATGCACGAATTTGTGAAGTAAAGCAAATTAGAGTCAAATGTGATTGTATATATTTAGTTATATTTAGTATATGTGCTGCCCAGGCGAGCACTATATTTAAATATTAGTGAAATTTAGAAATTCAAAAGTTTACATTTAAATTTTTGAAACATTTTAGTAAGAATCAATTTCTAATTTAAATTACAAGATACTGCTTATTTATATGTTTGAGTACATGTTAAAAAGGTTTTCTTGGTAAAGTTGGTTCATCACAATTCTTAGATTCCTTTTCCTGAGCAAGAAGTATTTAATATATAGTAAAGTGATCTTAAGAAATTTAGAGAATTATTCCTCCCTCCCAAAAGTTCCAAAACACATTAACATTTTATTAAGTTTTCTTTCAAATTACCTCTGGAAGTCCATTTGAAGCTACAATTCCAAGAGAATTCATAAAAGGTATAAAATTTTTGAAATAAACATTTTTCACCTGAAAAAGATAAAGGTACATGACCATCAAAATTTTTAAAAATTAATCTCCATCACTAACACTAGAATGAAAGTGTTAACTGACATTTTGATCAATAACTTACATTCAACCTAGTGTGACATTTATTTATAATTAATTTAATTATTTACCTTTAAAATTATGTGAGGCAGGTTTCAGGTCCTAAAATGGGGTGGAGTTGGAGTTTTTAATGAAATGGGATTTTTAAGAAGAAAAGCCACTGAAACCAATCTCAGTATTCCACATTAAACAAATGATAAAAAATGGGAGGCTCAAAAAAATTAGTCAACTTGACCAAGGTTACACAGCTAGGAAGCAGCAGAGCTGGAATTTAAACGTAATCTGCCTAACAGCAAAGCCAAGACTCGTTTTACTTCTTCACTGCCTCTGATTTGTCCCCAAAGTATAGTTTAGTCTACTTCACACACGTCATCTAATACCTAGCTTAGAGAATATTAAGTAAATTATTTTAGCATAAATTTGGGAAAATAACATGCTTTTGTAACAAAATAATTTCACATATAAAAATAATACCCAACAACTGAATTCAAAACCAAGATAAAATGTTTTGTGGAATTATGCAAATTCATGCAAAAGCATCCTGCTTCTAATATGAAAAATAAAGACACTACTCAGAAAAACCTGAAGTTATATTCCTGGCTATTCCACATTTGCAATGTGTTGTAGAATTTTAAGCAACTTACTTTCCTTCATTTAACTTCCTTTTACAACAGTGAAGTCTACATTTACTAAGCTGGAAATGAAATAATATCAGTTCCTATTTTCTACTTCACAAATAAGTTGTAAGAATTAAGCTTCTGTTAAACTTACTAGCTTTGTTTTCTAATTAATTCCCACTTAACTAGAATATTTAAAAGGTGGGTAGTTCACTAACTAATAATTATATAACCATAAATATAACTAACAAATAAATGCTGTGTAAATAATCAAGTGTCAATTAATTAATGTCAATTATCACAAAAAATTTTAATTACCTATACTTTAAAAAGCATTATTATAATGATTCTAAATTATAACAAAAAATAAAAAAGTAAAAAAAATGATTTATTCTTGATTTTAAAAATGAAATTTTACAAGTAGTTCTGAGAATTAACAACTAGGAATTAGAAAATGGACTGAGTAGTAGACTGGAGTGAAAAAAATATGTATGTCAACTACATTTGTTAGCTTATTAGCAAAGATAATTTGTGATTCTAGAAAAGTATATATGCACATACATATGTATACACATATATCTATATACATAAAGTTGATACACCTGTATCTATATGTCTATATCTATTATTTATTGAAATTAACAAAAGCTACAGTGCTAAAAACCCAGATATCTTGATAAATTATTCCAACACTTTTAAAACCCCACTTATTTCTAGAGTCCATAGAGAAATTTCAAAGATGCAGCATTTCATATAGCTATCTGATGGTAGTGAATTGTGGACAATATAACAATGTATGGGAGAAACAGCATGGTACAGTGACAGGAGCACTGGTAGCAAGATGTCCCAGAGTCTAGACAGTTAGTAATTAGTTCAGTCTCTAGAAGCTTATTTACTCATTACAAAAAGGAGGCAGAGTATATTATTTATGAGTCCTTCCAATTCCAACATTCCAGATTCTATGAACAAAATAAGCAATTCCTGCGTTTTTATGTGTACTCTCTACCAACCATTATCATCTGATGTAATATTTAGAAAGATAGTAATTATAGAAGTCTAAACAGAAATTTAATGATGGTATCACTTATCACTAAACCAAAAACACTAGGGCTTTCTTAGCAGGATATTATAAAACATTAGGGGTATCACAATCACAGAGGAATCAAAGAATAAATACATTTGAAAACTACTGCCTTAATGATTCACATTTCTGTGATTCCAGAGTGAGGGAGCTACTCTTTAAAATCAAAGTAGCTGAACATGAAAATTAAATTTTTGCTAAACATTTTACTATTGCAAATGGGTTAGCACTAATTACAAAAAGCAAGCTCATTACAAAAGGAGTATATACTGTTAGAAAGAACTTATATCTAAATCTACTTTAACTATTTTAAATAAATCATGAAGTCAAATTACCTCATCTATATTACATTCATGTTCTTTACAGAGAACTTCAATAATTCTTGTATCATTTTCTAGTTGTTTTGCTATCCGTGCACTCCTGTTCTGACCTCGCCTTGGTGTTCGAGGTGAACCATTAATAGGTATTACAGCTGTTTCTGTAAAAATGGTAAATTAGATCAGAACAATTGCAAATTCCACTGTATAAAATAATGAAATATTTTAAATATAACTAGGAAGGTCAAAAATAATCTGGTAACATTATGCTACTTCTAATTATTAGGCTTCCTTTAAAGGCTAACAGTTTTATCTATTTATTGCATATCTATTATAAATTATGTACTAAAAATAGTTTTTGCCATGATCCTATTCTCTTCTGCCCCCAACTAGTTCAAAAATAAATTAAAATAGTTAAAGCTAAATATTAGGAAAGCAAGGGGGAATAGCCCACTTATAAAGTAATTCTAAATTATCCTACTCAGTCTGCAAGGGGAAAAAATGTTTTCTGTCTTTTAAAGTATCTTAAAAATAATAAGCGAGTATTTATGGATTCAATTTTGAGATAGAATATAAAATAAATAAATTTTAAAAGTTTTAGCAAATACCATAGTAAATTATGATGGTTTCAAAAAATAAGTATGTGACACTAAATTGTGATTTCTTAAAATCTTTATATGTAGATTTTTTAAATTCCCTAAATTATTTTGAGCATTTCCAATTTAAACTGAATGTGGATTCAGCTATTACAGAGATTACAGATGACTATGTATAAAAAGTATTAACTGCCTCTAGGCCCAACCAACAATTTACAAGAAATCAAGAGGTGAGAGGATCATGTTACACCAAACCACAACATGCAATGGTAAAAAATTAAAAATGGGAAACTCAACAGGATTTAATATATTATACAAATTGCAGGGGGGGGGGGAGAGAAAGATAAAGGAGGAATTTTTTTTTAAATCTTAAAAGCATTTAAGTCAACTGCAAAGTATAATTTCATGTAGATTCTTATTTAGTCAACCTGTAATTTTTTTTTAATTATTTTTATAAGACAAATGAAAATGTGAACACTTACTAAATATTTGATGGTAGTAAGAGATCACTATTAATTCATTTTGTAAGTGTGATATAATGGTATTGTCATTATGCTTTTTAAAGTCTTTATCTTCTAGAGATACTAAAATTTATAAGGATGAATTGTCAGTAGAAATGTGCTTCAAAATAATATAGCTGGTAGAGCTGGACAGTGAAGGTGGGTAATAAATAAATGGAGGCTTATTATATTACTGTTTACTTTTATATTCATTTGATATTCTACATAATAAAAAATAATTAAAAGTGTATTATACTCAGTTAATTCAATAACTCATCCTGGCTTCTCTTTAATATATCACTTAGAGAATTAAATGTGCATTGAAATGATAAAAAAGAAAAAAAGAAAAAAAAAAAGGCCAGTCAACCTAAAGTAACATCTACATGAAGTTACTAATATTATAACATTGAAAATACTGAAGAAAAGGCATATAAGGAAATTTTTGTAAAGAAAAATGTAAAATATATTTATTCTTTCCTATTTTTTCTCTCTCTCTCTGTTTTACATATGGTTTCTGCTAAATGATTGCCTTGTTTGTCAAACCATGTTCAACAAATTTTCAAAATTCTGCTTCAGACTTCATTTTCCCATGAAGTATCAATACTATTCACACGGATTAATAAAGCTTCTGCTTTTTAGCCACTAAAAGACACTTTGAGACTTCTATATTTTGATCTGTTCTACATTATTTTATAATAGTATTATTAATATTTTCATCATTTTAGGAGCCAAGGAATCAAGTCAGTCTTAGTTAATTTTACATGTTTCTGTAGTAAAATAATTTTGAAGTCCTACTCATGATGCCACCAGAGGAAGCAATTCCATTCTATGGCAATATACTCATCTTTGCTTAATACCTAATTAATTAGCAACCGTTACTTTTAATTAAATACATTTCCCATCTCATCACCCACTGAAATAGATCAATACACTTCATATAACAATAACAAAAATAGTCGCATAATCATTACAGCACTCAATAATAAAAATTTAATCTGTTCCTGTAGAATGGACAACTCTTTTCCATGCAGTTTCAATCATATCTATGTCTTGCCCCTTGATTTGCTCTTTATTAGGAATGCCCTCCCTACAACTTACCACAACACTCAAATCCTATTTTTTTCACTCTGTTCAAATGCCACCTCCTTTATATGGCCTCCTTTCTCTTCCCCAGCTGGGAAAACTTTCTCATCTGCTGAACTTCCATAGTATTTGTTTTATTTTGACCCAGACCACGTTCTATTACCATATACTCTAATTGCTTGCTTACTTATCTTATCCCTCCTGCTGTATCTTACACTACTTGAGGACACAGTCCATGTCTGATTTATTTATTATCTTAGCCTAGGATATAAAACCACTTTTTGGATGTATAAGACATTAATAAACAATTACTGAATAATGAAGTAGGAGGAGCACAAAATATTTAAAATACTTACTATATGGTTCTTTGAGCAATGCAGGAGGTGAGAGTTTGATAAAATAGTCAAGGACACATAGCATTAACTGAAATGAGATCACCAGGTCATCTTCCATTTGTAATATTTCCCCTGAATATAAAAGAGATTCACATTTTAAAATAAAGTTAGAGATTGATATTTTTTAAATTTTATTATTGATTTTAGGGAGAGAAACATTGTTGTGAGAGAAATACATCGGTCAGTTGCCTCCAGCTCAGAAGAGGAATCAAACCCACAACCTAGGTATGTGCCCTGACCAAGAATCAAACTCTAGTGCACAGGACTACACTTTAACCAACTGAGCAACACTGGCTAGGGCAAGATTAAGACGCTTAAGTCAGGGAAAATTTCAGTATGAATGTATCCATTTACTCATTTATTCAATAGTCACTAAAGGCATGTTAAAGATTATTTTTTTATAAAAACTCAGTCAGATTTGTTATATATAAAAATATAAAATTATAAAGTTAAAATTTATAATGAGAATTTTAAGTTTAGATATTTTTATTATTATTCAGTCCTTATGTCTAAATTACTTTTTTTTACTTTTTTAAACTTACTTCCAGTCTTGGTAAGAGCTAAAGAATGTATTCTGAAAATAATTTTGAAGGATGATATACGCTAATCTTTACTTCTACTTATGAATCCTCCTATATTTTAACTTTTAAACCCCACCCAAAATATTATAATAACAAAAACCATTAAGAAAAATAATACTGGCCAAAACCGGTTTGGCTCAGTGAATAGAGCGTCGGCCTGCGGACAGAAAGGTCCCGGGTTCGATTTTAGTCAAGGGCATGTACCTTGGTTGCAGGCACATCCCTAGTAGGGCATGTGCAACAGGCAGCTGATCTATGATTCTCTCTCATCGATGTTTCTAACTCTCTATCCCTCTCTCTTCCTCTCTGTAAAAATCAATAAAATATTTTTTTAAAGAAAAGAAAAACAAAATTGGTGTATAATTGTAAAGTCATCTATAAATTATTTAGCACAAAATCCTGAAAGTTAATGCAATAACTATACAAATACAGAACTGTGAAGAAATAAATGCATATAATAAATATCTGAGAAAAAAATTGTACAGCAATATAAAATACACAAATCATGATCAACAACAGCTATAACATTTGATTATGGCTCTTTGTTGTACATTGTTTTTAAGAGTAGTTTGAAGAGGAATCAAGATGGTGCATAGGTAAACACCTGTACTTGCTGCCTCTCGCAAACACATCAAAATTACAAATAAAAGAAAGAACAACTATCATCCAGAATCGTGGGAAAGCTGGCTGAGTGGAAGTCCTACAACTAAAGAGGTAAAGAAGAAAGCGCATTGAGACTGGTGGGCGGTGCGGAGGCATGGAATGGGCTAGCACACAGGTGCGCTGCATTTTTAATCGGGAGGGAGATACAAACTCCCACTTGCTCTGAACTCCAGTTTCAGGTGAGACTTGGGGGGATCCAGACACATACAGTGAGAAACTGGACTGTGTGGTGCGTGGGCAGCTTTAGACGGAGGTGCACACAATGGTCATTGTTCTTCTGCTGGAACCACTCTAGTACAGGGCTGAATGGCAGCCATTGATCTTAGCTCCACTCTGGTGATTCCGAGACCCTGGCCCACCCAATTTACAACCCCATCCAAGTTGTGTGCAGGGACTTTTGCACATGGATGGCCTGTCCTTTCTCAGCCTAAAACATGTCAAACAGGCAGCAGCTGGATCAGGGAGCCCCAAAGCAATCAATTTGGCAGCAGCAGCCTGCCTTGCTACATAACTGGACCTCATGTGGGCACTTCCAAACCCAATACAAAGAAGAGGAATCTGCAGATCTCTTGGTAGCTCCTGCTGGGGAACCCCAGGCAGTAACTGACTTTGCATCTCCTTGGAGACCCAAGAGTCAGTGTACCCACTGGTCAGTGTGAGACCATTCCAGATTACAACTCTTCACATTGCATAAATGACACACTCAGGGGCAGACTTAGTGAGCACCAAAGCCCCATAAGGGTATCTCCAGCACAGCAGCTCTTCCACTGTAGACACAGCTGGTCCTCGCAGCCAATTAGCCTGGCAATCAATTCCTCCCAGTGGTACCAACAGCAATCAAGGCTTAACTACAACAAAACTGTGCACACAGCCCATAAAGGGGTGCACCAAGAGTGTCCACCTCAGGTGACTGGGGAAGCTGAGCCACTTAGTCTTATAGGACACCTACCATACAAGGCCATTCAAGGAGACTTAGCAGCTCTACCCAATACATAAAAACAAACACAGGGAAGCAGCCAAAATGCAGAGACAAAGAAACATGTCACAAATGAAAGAAATTAATGAAAGCAAAATACTGGATATAGAGTTCAAAATCACAGTTATAGGGTTACTCAAGAATGTTCTAGAAACCTCCAAGTGAGACCTTCAAGGATCTTAGTGAGAATGCCAAAAATATGGAAAAGGACCATACAGAAATTAAGCATACACTGACTGAAATAAAGAATAATATACAGAGATTCAACAATGATTCCAAGAATCAAGTCAAAGATTTGAAATACAAAGAAGCAAAAAACACCGACCGGAAGAGCAAAAATAAAAAAGAATCTAAAAGTATGAAGCTATGAAGAAGGAGCCTCAGCCACTGACAACTTCAAGCATACCAACATCCAAATTATGGGGATGCCAGAAGAAGAGAGAGAACAAAATACTGAAAACATATTTGAAGAAATAATGACAGAAAACTTCCCCTAGCTGATGAAAGAAATAGACTTACAAATCCAGGAAGCACAGAGAACCCCAAACAAGAGGAATCCAAAGAGTATCACACCAAGGCACATCATAATTAAAATGCCAAGAGCAAAAGCCAAAGAGAGAATCTTAAAAGCAGCAAGAGAAAAACAGTGACATTCAAAGGAGCACCCATACGACTATCAGCTTATTTTTCAACAGAAACTATGCAGGCCAGAAGGGAGTGGCAAGAAATATTTAAAGTGATGAATAGCAAGAACCTACAACCAATATTACTCTACCCAGTAAAGCTATCATTTAGAATTGAAGGTCAGATAAAGGGCTTCACAGACAAGACGAGCTAAAGGAGTTCATCAACACCAAACCATTACATGAAACCAGAGGCCCAGTGCACAAAATTAGTGCATGGGGGGGTGTCCCTCAGCCCAACCTGCAACCTCTCCAATCCAGGAGCCTTCAGGGGATGTCCTACTGATGGCTTAGGCCTGCTCCTCGTGGTTCTCTGCTTTCTGCAAGGTCTGCCTGCTCCATACCCACGGCAATGGGCAAGCAGGCCCTACTGGGTGCTGCCTATGGGCAACACTTGCCTGCTCCCAGGTCGCAGCAACAACGGCCAACCAGGCCCTGCTGGGTGCTGCCTGGGGGCCCACTTACCTGCTCACAGGTTGCAGTGGCTACAGCCAAGCAGGCCCTGCTGTCAAGCTGCACGGCCACCCTGGGGTCACCAGTCCGGCCCTGCCTGGCTCTCTAGGCCCCGCAGCAGTCGCGACCTTTGTGGTCTGACCCTGCCTCCCTCTCTGGCCCTTGAAGCAGCCTCAGCAACTGATGACAAGGCCCTCCCCCAGTGCAGGGGCATGGAGGCTGCTGCCGACCCGCCCCTGACTCTGCATGAGCAACCTCCTCCTGTCTGTTACAGCGTTCCAGTTAATTAGCATATTTCTCTATTATACATATAGATGCTGAAGGGTATTCTTTAAGAAGAGAAAGAAGAAGAAGAAGGTAAAGATAAAAAATTATGAACAACAAAGTGACAACAAATACATATCTTCAACAAGTGAATCTAAAAATCAAATGAATAAAAAATCTGATGAGCAGAACAAACTGGTGAATGTAATAGAATCAGGGTCATGGAAAGAGAGTGGACTGACATTTCTCAGGGAAAAGGTGGTGTAGGGGTGCACAAAGAGATTGGACAAAGAGCTTACACTTATGGACAAGGACAGTGTGGGGGCCAGGGCCTGGGGTGGGGAGGGAACCAGATGGAGAGGAGCTATGGGAGGAAAATGAGGAACATCAATAATAATCTGAATGATAAAGATTAAAAAGAGAGAGAGAGGTTTGACTCACTTTCTATCTTATTGATATGAGTCTCATAAACCAATAATATCCCCAACAAGACTCAGCTGATGTGGCTCACTGGTTTGAGCATTGACCTAAGAATCAGGAGGTCATAATTCAGTTCCCAAGTTGTGGGTTGATCCCCAATACAGGAGGCAGTCGATCAATAATTCTCTCTCATCATTGATGTTTTTTATCCCTCTCTCTTCCTCTCTGAAATCAATAAAAATATATTTTTAAAAAACAATCTCAACAAATACTGATGGTGTAGAAACTATGAGAAATAAGTAAGCCTGCATCAGGTAGATTTTGCTAGATCCATAGGAATGGTACAAAAATATGTTTATAATAATATACTTAAGAAATTATTTTAAAATACCACAGAGGTAAAGAATATGAAGAAATTCTAGTTAAAAATATTAGAGTGAAGTCAAATAAAAAGAATTTCTCTCCTCCAATTCTATATAATAAAAAGGCTAATATGCAAATCGACCAAACAGTGTAAGGACTGGTAACTATGATGTGAATTGACCACCAGGGGGCAGACACTCAACAGAAAACATAGGAGCTGCCTCCTGGTGGTCAGTGCACTCCCACTGGGGGAGCACAACTCAACCAAAAGCCCAGCTCATGGCTGGTGAGCAAAGCAGCGATAACGGGACCCTCTCCCATCTCCATGGCAGCACTAGGGACCCCTCGGGGGTCTTGGACTGCGAAAAAGCGCAGGCCGGGCTGAGGAAACACCCCCCCCCCCCCAGTGCATTTCATGCAGTGGGCTTCTAGTATCTAATAAAAGAAAAGAAACAAATATACTGGTTAAGTGCTAGCACCCATAGCAAATTTGAGATACTGACACCAAAAGTATCATCTCTTTTCTATTCTTACTTGGAGAAAGTGAAAATTGTTGATGAGAAAAGGGTAAAATGGAAGAAAGTAAACAATTATAGCTAACTTTCTGACAAAGATTCCAGATGGGAAAACCATTTGAATCCCAACTACAATCCTATTATGAAAATAGGATATAATTGCCACTACAAGTGTTGTTTTATTGTTTATTCTAACAAAAATCTCAGAACATCAAAAACAGATAGCAGTCCTATCCAGTTTGGCTTAATGGATAGAACATCGGCCTGCAGACTGAGGGGTCCCAGATTCAATTCTGGTCAAGGGCACATTCCCAGGTTGTAGGCTCAATCCCCAGTGGGAGGCATGCAGGAGACAGCCAATCAATGATTCTCTCTCATCATGGATGTTTCAATCTCCCTCTCCCTCTCCCTTCCTCTCTCTGAAGTCAATACAACAATATTTTTTAAAAAGACACAGCATTCCAGATGAACTCTCCACTTCCCCTCCCTCTGCTCTCACAGCCTTTTGGAGGAACACAAATCAGAGATAAAATGCAAAATGAGTAAAGGGAAATTTATTCACACCACATCAAAGAAAGCAGAACATCAGGTCAGGGTTGCCCACATAAAGTTCTAGTTACATGGAAGGAAAAGCACAAAGATTATGCAAACATATTACAGAAAAGAAGAAATATAATCAAAATGGAGAAGGGGGGAAATCAGATAGAAAACTCAATCTGAAAGGTAATCTATCAGAAGAAAATGTCCTGAGTCCTTAAACTAACTTAAAAAACATATTTTATAAAAACAAGGAGCTAGACAACCTAAGAAAAACCTGAGAACCAAATAACACCATTACAAACATAGTTTGGCTCAAAACAGAAGGCTTGAGATAAAAATAGTCAATACATAATAAAAACACCAGCTGAGGATCCTCAGAAGGGGGGGGGGGGTTAAAGGAGGAAAGAAATCAACTGAAGAACTTATTAGTATATGCATATATGCATAACCCATGGACATAGACAATAATGGGGTGAAGGCCTAGGGTGAAAAAGTGGGAAAGAGGGGACATCAATGGGGGAGAGAGGGGAACTCCTGTAATACTTTAAACAATAAAGATAAATTAAAACAAAAACAAAAAAGGAAAGGGGAGGGGAGGGGAGGGGAAGGGAAGAGAAGGGAGGGGAGGGGAGGGGAAGAGAAGGGGAGGGGAGGAGAGGGAGAGGAGGGGAGGGAAGAGGGAGGGGAGGGGAGGGGAGGGGAGGGAAGGGGAGAAAAACACTGCCTGGCAGGCATGACTCCATGGTTGAGCATCGACCTATGAACCAGAAGGTTCACAAGCATGTACGGGAAGCAACCAATAAATGTTTCTCTCTCACATGGATGTTTCTCTCTCTCTAAAATCAATAAACAGGGGGGTAAAGAGGAGAAATGGGTGATGTGTAATACTATCAATAAAAAGTATTTTTTTAAAATCAATAAACATATCCTCAGTAAGAATTTCAAAAAAAGATCATAAAGATTTTGAGTGTGCATTTCCATGATATATGTTCTGTATGTTGCAGTATGTGTCCACCACTCAAAGTCATATCATCTTCACCATATATTTGACCCACTTTAACCATTACTATTCCTCTATCTACTTCCCTCTGGCAGTCACCATGCTGTTATCTATGTCTATGGCTTTCAGTTTTATGTGAATGAAATCATATGGTTCTTAGCTTTAGCTGACTTATTTCATTTAGCAATAACATTCTCAAGGTTCATCCAAGTGGTCACAAATGGCAGTATTTTATCTTTTCTATGGCTGATTAGTATTCCATTATATATATTTACATCTTCTTTATCCAACTACCTTTAGAAAGACAGTTGAATTTTTTCCATTTCTTGGCCACCATGTCTTAGTCTCTTGCTAGAGCTATTGTTTGAAAATATCTTCTCCCACTTGGTTGGTTGCATTTTTGTTTTGTTGGTGGTTTCTTTTGCTGTGCTAAAGCTTTCTAGTTTGATATATATAGTCCCACTAATTTATTTTTTAAATATATTTTACTGATTTTTTACAGAGAGAGATAGTTAGAAACATTGATGAGAGAGAATCATCGATCAGCTGCCTCATGCACACCCCCTACTGGGTTTGCACCCACAACTAACGTACATGCCCTTGACCAGAATCAAACCTGGGACCTTTCAGTCCGCTGGTTGATGCTCTATCCACTGAGCCTAACCGGTTTCGGCCCATTCATTTATTTTTGCCTTTAATTCCCTTGCCTTCAAGGACAAATCCATAAAATGTTCTTTAAAACCAAGGCCCTAAGTTTAGTACCTATTTTTCTTCTATGTAATTTATTGTTTCATATCTTATACTTAGGTCTTTGATCCATTTTAGTTTTTGCATTTGGTGACACACTGTAGTCTAGTTTCATTCTTTTGCATATGGCTTTCCAGTTTTCCCAGCACTATTTATTAAAGAGGCTTTCTTTCCTCTACAGCAGTGTTTCCCAAAGTGTGGTACGAGTACCCCTAGGGGTACGGGGAGAGTTTGGGGGGGGTACGCGTTGCACTGGAGTTTGGTGGGGATATGCACTGCACCATGTTTAGCTACGCCTAATTCTACGTTCTCATGAGTACGAGGGGTACTCAGCCTTACGAAAATTATAGAAGGGGTACACATATGTCAAAAGTTTGGGAAACACTGCTCTACAGTAATGCTTTTGGCTCATTTGTCAAAAATTATTTGCCCATATACATGTGGTTTTATTTCTGGGCTCTCAATTCTGTTCCATTGGTCTGAGTAGTATAAGTTTTTTGGCCCATACCATACTGCTTTGATCAGTGTTGCTCAGTAGTATTTGAAGTCAGGTAGTCTGATACCTCCAGGTTTGTTATTTTTTTTCTCATTATTGCTGTGGTTATTCGGTGTCTTCTGTCATTCCATACAAATCTGATATTTTGTTCTATTTGTTTAAAAAATGTCATTGGGATTTTGATGGGTATTACATTGCTTTGGGTTTTGGGTAAATTTTCTGTTTTTCTTTGCATTTTGGTGTGTTATTTGAATTGTTTTTAGTAAGTACACATCATTTTTATAAAATTAATAAGATTATTCTTTAAAAATTAGAAAGAAAGAAAAGAGGAGTGGATAGTAGAAATGAAATGAGATATTTCCAATGTTGCTTCAATATTAGAATTACAAGGACTTGCTAATATTTAACAAGGCACATAAAGAATTGTGGTTAATAGGGAGAGGGGGGCGGCAACATTAAATTGAATAAAACTTTGAGCTTAGTCCAAAAATTAAATCAATTATTACATCTGAAACATTATCATATAACAAAAATAATGACTTTACCTTTAGCTAGTAAAAATATGATCCAAGAAACTTTTAGCACCAACACAGAATTTATTTCAGTAGATATTCTAGTAAGCAATCAGAAAGAAGAAAAAAAATTTTACTATAGCTTTCTAATTACACCTGATTCCCTACTACACACATTTTTTTTAATACAGACTTGATTACATAATAGAATACAGTCTATTTTAACTGCACAATTTACACATGAACTTACTACTTTGTCTCACTTAGTGTTTATACCAAGGTAATATTGTGCCCATAGTAGTAAAACATTTTATTTAAAAAATTTAATTATGCACAGGAAATAATACTATACTATACTTAGTTTTCAGTTATTTAATAGTTTTCTGCTCTGTTATCTAATGAAAATCAACAAAATAAGCAGAAAAATAGAGGTCTGGGTTATTCTAATTCGCCGATTCATTCACTTGTTGGAATTAACAAGTGAAATTAATAATGAATAGAGTTAATAAATATATAACTTTCCTTTATATTAATTATCTTCAATACTACTACTTGAAGGGGGCAGAAAATCTCATATACTACTCATTCTTTTTCCAAAGAAAAACTCTATAGAGATCTTACATGGGTCTACTGTTGGAACGTGTGTTATGAGTTAAAAAATAATTTGGAAATTTTAATATAGGTGTTCATACTTATTTTTTACACAAAAATTATGTGCCCAACCCTGGCCAGATAGCCCAGTTGGTTGGGGCATGATCCAGTACACCAAAAGGTGCAGGTTCAATTCTAAGTCATGGTACATATCTAGACTGTGGGGGTTCGACACCCTAGTCAGGACATGTATGGGAGGTAACCAACCGATGTTTCTTTCTAACATCTCTCTCTCTCACTCTCTCACTCTCTCTCTCTCTCTCTCTCTCTCTCTCTCTCTCTCTCTCAAATCAATAAAAATATATCTTAGAGTGAGGATTTTAAAAAAGAATATGCCTGTAATAGAACCTCAATAAAGACTGAGTCAATGAACGTGCAGTTTTCCCAGAGTTGATGATACATTACACTGAAACAACTTCCACTTTATTAGTTCCCCTGTATAGTAAAAGACAAGTATTTCAAATGATTTTTCTTTATGAGAAGATAAATAAGCTGTTGGCCTTAGAACTATAACCTTACTTTATGAAGAAGCATGCTATAATCAATTAAACTACCCTGACGTTATCAACATATTTGGGATCACTCCAGAAAGATCTTGCTTAAAAAAAAAAAAAGTGAAAAATAACATGCACTCAACTACTTACAAACTGCTTGGTTGCATCAAATATATAAGTTCACATGTCCTAAAAGAAAAAAATAATTATATTAACATTATGGCTTTTCATAAAGTTATATTTGTAATATTTTTCATAATTTAGAAATAAATTTTATTAGACTTTATTAATCTTATTTAAGAAGTATATGTTTTAAAAACAAAAAATCATAGCATCATAAAACAAAGTTAAGGTATATTTTTCCAACTATGGCACTTCACACACATCATGGTAATATCTAATTACAAAAGGATTGGACTTCATATGTGCATCTGTAACTCATCTGTATATTTGTAATTAAATCTTGATCTTGTTAAAATCCCAGACCAGGTCATAAAAACCTATTTAATGAGTAGTTTCACTAAAATAACACAATTGAAAAGTACAATAAACCTACTTTTTAGGACATACTTCCAGAATGGCAAAATAAGGATTTTCACAGAACTGTTTCCAGTGTAATAACTATAACTGGTGAAAATTATTTATTCAAAAACATTTAAAGTCTCTGGAAATTTTCCTAAGATTATACAAAGCAAAAATAGAAACATTTCTTCAAGAAATTTGACTAAACCTTGGTAAGAACAATGATAGTCTGTGGAATTTAAACAAAAGCTTACTTCTTCCTCCTCTCTATCCCAGCATCACAAAGCTCTAACGTGGGCAGGTGCAGCCAAGACACAGGCTTCCTCTCTCCTGAGCTCCCAGCCGAGGACTATCTCTCTGGGAATCGCAAGATACCAGCATTTTTCATACCCCATGCAAGACAAACTGAGAGGTCTGGGCTCCCTTCCTCCCCAGTCATAGGACAAAAGACCCAGAAAGAGCAGATCAAGATTACTGGGGCTCTGACTTCCCTTACTCCAGTTAGCTGATAAGACAGAGGTTCTAACCAATAAAGGCAATCTGAGAAGACAAGGGATTATGGCCTCTTCTTAGCACCACACTCTTAAAGCAGAGTTGTCACTCAAAAAAGTGGACACTATTCCCACTCTGATTTCCTGAGTAGTGGCACAATAGTATTGTCCAGGAAGAGATAGGCCTTAAGAACAGAGAGATATGAAGCTTTCTCCAAGGAAATTAACTTCAATTAATATCAAAGAAAGAGACATAAGTCATTGGAACAGAGTGTGGAAACAATCAAAGCTAAAAGCCCTGCTGAAAACGACGGAGATTTTGGTGGTAAGCAAGTAAGAGAAAGCTGGTAGCTATGTGAGAGCAAAAACCTAAATCCTAGGTCATCTAAGAGAGAACCAGGGGGAAAGCTAAGAAAAGCTCTCCTGAAGTTAGAACAAACCTCAAGACTAAACTCAAAGATTACTCTTGCAAAGGGAACCAAATTTAAATGGATCAGTCTAATACCATTGTAATTAACTTAATTATTAATAACAGGAAAGGAGCAAAGGAAAGGCCAGACATTATAAGCAATCTTCCCACAATACTTGCTTGTCAGTCACTCCTTGTGCTTTCAGGACCTTTAGGACTCTTGTTACTTAGGGAGCGCTCTCCAGCACTCTCCCTCAAGGCCCACAGCCATGTGGACTCACACACACAATGGACTAATGGACTGCAACTTGCCTAATGCTGTCTTGGACCTGGCTCCAACATGGAAACAAAACGCTGGACACTGGCTTTGCTTCTAGCTTTACCGAAACCACAGCTATATTTCTTCTCTTACTGAGATAAGGAAAAGGGAACTTTAGAAATCCAGGAATGTAAGTCCATGAAAATAAAGCTTTCTCCTATATCTCATCCACTCATGAGGGCCTCCAGAAATACTTATTCCTACAACCCCACTAATCCCATTTCCCCAAGAATCCCACTTCCACCAATACTCAGGACATTGTCAAAAAACAAAGCAATCAGTTAGCAATCCATGGAAAGTAAAAGCTAGGTGCAATAGCAACGAAGGCAGTTAGATTAACAAGAAAGATCAGAGGAAAAGATCATCAAAGAGAACCCCACTAAAACCACTATCACCTCAGAGTGACTGTACACATGCCCATGGCTACATGGAGGAGCAATATCAGAAGCTATACACTCTGGGATAAATAGGCTTCACTGAACTATTACAGCTAAGTCACTGGACAAATAAACAAGAAAAAGAATAACAACAGCAAGCCCCAGGATTGAGAAGAATCTATCCAGAGTTGCCAAAATGTTATAAAAAATGCCAGTTTGCAAAAATAAGTATGAAAGTGTGAACTCTACATAAGAAAAAAAGCAGGCAACAGAAACTGCATTTAAAAAACCCAGGTGTCAGACTTAACAAAGACTTCAAAGCTGCTTTTATAAATATGCTTGAAGAACTAAAGGAAACCAGGCTTAAAGGGGAAATATATGCTGACTATGTCTCATCCTACAGAGAATACCAATAAAGAGACATAGTTATTTAAAAATAACCAAATATAAATTTGAGTTGAAAGGTACAATAACCTAAATGAGAGATTCACAAGAATTAAATAATAGATCCAAGTTGGCAGAAGAATCGCTAAACTTGAAGACAAAGTTAAAGAGATTAAGTAGTTTGAAGAACAAAGAGAAAAAGACAAAATGAAGAGGCTCATAGAAATGTGGGACACCAAAAAATGTAACAATATATAGGGTATTGGGAGTACTAGAAAGGGAGGAGAGAGGGGAAACTGAAATAATATTTAAAGAAGTAATGGCTAAAATTTTCAAAAATCCAATCTACACCCAGATGTATCAAAGTAAAAACGATGAAGACAAGAGAAAATCTTGAAAACAGCCAAAGAAAAATGTTCCAACATTAACAGCTATCTTCTCATTAGAAACAATGACCATCAGAAGGCAGTGGGATTACATATTCAAAGTGCTGAAGAAAAAAATAGTCAAACAGGAATCATATATCTGCCAAAATTACATCTCAAAAGGGAAATTGAAAGAAAGGCATTCCCAAACAACATCAGGAAATGTATAGAATAGATTCACCTTCAAAAAAATACTTAAGAAGTTCTTCAAGCAAAAACTAGTGACCCAAGATAGTAGTTCACATCAACATGAAAAAATAAAAAGCACTGGTAAAGATAATTATCTATAATAATAAAAACATAATATGCTTATTAGATTAGACAGCCGAATGACCTTCTGGACGTCATTCCAGACGTACTTCTAGATGAAGCTGCAGTGGCAGGAACCAAAGTAGAGGCAGTTGGGGTGATCAGGCAGGCAGGCAGAGGTCGTTAGGGGCATTGAGGCAGACAGGCAAGTGGTTAGGGGCGATCAGGAAGGAAGGTAGGTGAGCAGTTAGGAGCCAGTGGTCCCAAATCGCTAGAAGGATGTCCAACTGTCAATTTAGGGATCCATAGGGATCAGGCCTACACCAGTAGTTGGACATCCCCTGAGGAGTTCCAGATCGCAAGAGGGTGCAAGTCAGGCTAAGGGACCCTGCCCCTCCTATCTAATTCCAGAATATTCCTATCACCCCATAAAGAAACTCAATACTTAACAGTCCTTACTCCCCACTCCCTTCGCTTCCCACTCCCTTCACTTCCCAGAATGTAATTAGTAGTGAAGATAATTACATTCTGTATATATCTGTGCTGTCAAATATGGTAGTCACAAGCACCTATGAATAATGCACACCTGAAATGTGATTAGTCCAAATGAAGTTGTGCTGTAAGTGTAAATTATACACTAAAGTATTAAAAAATAATTAGAGGGAAAAAATGTAAAATATCTCTTTAATAACTTTTATATTGGCTTTGTATTTTCTTAATGAAATGTAATTCACATAACATAAAATTAACTATTTTAGTCTATAAATTCAGTAATTTTTATTATATTCACTTTTTTAGACAATCATCACCATTATTTAATTACAAAATATTCCTATCACCCCATAAAGAAAATCAATATGTAACAGCCCTTACTCCTCACTCCCTTCACTTCCCACTCCCTGGCAATCACTAATCTACTTTCTGTCTCTATGGATATGTTTATTTAGACGTTTCATCTGATGGAATATATGGTCTTTTGTGTCTAGCTTTTTTCACTCAGCTTAATGTTTTTGAAGTTCATTTATGTTATAGCATGTAACAGTATTTTATTCCTTTTTATCAATCAACAATATTCCATCATATGGATATATCGTATTTGTTTATTCATTTATTAGTTGATAAGACATTTGGGTTGTTTTCACTTTTCAGCTATTACAAATAATGCTATGGACTTTTGTGTACATTTTTCATGTGAATGATACATGCTGAAATGAGACATCTTAAGATATGTAGGTTAAATAAATGTTAAAATTAATTGCACTTGTTCCCTTTTACTTTAGTCATGTAGCTATTAGAACATTTAAAATGCATGCCTAATATTTCACTGACCTAGAAAGAACTCTGCAAAAGTTCATTTGGAACAATAAAAGACCCCAAATAACCACAGCAATCCTGAGAAAGAAGAGTAAAGTAGGAGGGATCTCAATACCAGACTTCAAGCTGTATTACAAAGCCAATGTTTTCAAAACAGCCTGGTACTGGCACAAGAACAGACACATAGATCAATGGAATAGAATCGAGAACCCAGATATCAACCCAAATCACTATGCTCAATTAATATTTGACAAAGGAGGCACGAATATATAATGGAATCAAGACAGTCTCTTCAATAAATGGTGTTGGGAAAATTGGACAGATACATGCAAAAGAATGAAACTAGATCACCAACTTACACCATATACAAAAAATAAACTCAAAATGGATACAGGACTTAAACATAAGACGGGAAACCATAAAAATACTAGAAGCATCCACAGGCAACAAAATCTCAGACATATGCCAAAAGAACTTCTTCACTGATACTGCCCCTAGGGCAATGGAAGCTAAAGAGAAAATAAACAAATGGGACTACATCAAAATAAAAAGCTTTTTTTTTTTTTTTACAGCAAAAGAAACCATCAACAAAGCAACAAGAAAGCCCACTGTGTGGGAGAACATATTTGCAAATGTTACCACTGATAAAGGTTTAATCTCCAACATCTACAAACAGCTTATACAACTAAATAAAAGGAA